GCGGTCTAAGCTAAGGTGCTAGATGTAGGCTCTAGTCTCTCAGGAGTCCTGGGTTCAAATCCCACTGCTGTCATTTAACATTTGAATTATGTGGTTAAGCTATGTGCTCGAAAGGTGTTTTAGAATTGGTCATGTGTGAGGTGGCCAATGCCATTAGTGGCAACTTTACTAACCCAATCCCGCATTGCCCTATTTTCCAGACTAAGCAGCTATATTGAATTGCAGAAGAATAAGTATTAGGAGTGTAAAACAAGGTTAATATGTGATTCATCTCAGTTTTCAAAGACTTATCATTCAATCAAATTCAACCGTTAAATGTTGCACATCAACAAAATCGTCCACAAACCCGATGTTGTTCTCCTTTGTACATCTCCAGTTAAGTAATCGTGTGCACCCAGTAACCCACTATCTGCTCATTGTAAATTCTGACCAGCAAGGCTCAATGCTCACATCCATCCATTCTCATGTTGCCAGGTTCTCAGTTGACTTAGAATTCAATGAACCAATACATGTCCTCTCTCGTTATTGCTAAAGTGCAAACCTCAGAGATCCTTTGAGGAAATTGGAAAAATCACTGTAAAATAGGTCGCTGCAAGGTCCAACAAATGCTCAACTTGTCATGGTTTTGGATTGTTGTTTTCATTTTCCACCTTTGTATTTTGAAATGTTTTCCTCCTTGTGTCTTGTCTGATCATACTCCCTGTGTTTGCCTTCCTGTCGTTAGTTTCCCTCATGTGTCAGATTGTGTTCACCTGTTGCCCTTGTGTTTCTGCCTCCCCTGCCCGGCTGAGTCTTGTCCTGTGATTACCCTTCTGTGTATTTACTCTTGTCTTCCCCTGTGCTCCATTTCTGTTCGTCGTCTTTCCATGTCTCTTCATGTCCTTGTTCCCTGCCTCACCTATGCTCGTCTTTGCTAGTCCATGTCTCCTGCCTGTTCCCGTCTGTAAGTTTGTTCCGAACAAACTTACAGACGGGAACAGGCAGGAGACATGGACTAGCAAAGACGAGCATAGGTGAGGCAGGGAACAAGGACATGAAGAGACATGGAAAGACGANGTGTGTGTGTGTGTGTGTGTGTGTGTGTGTGTTTTATTGAGAAAGTAAACATGTTGTATTCAGATTGATATCCCTTAACGGTACTGATATGTTTCCAAGAATACATTTTCAGGACGTCCTCACTCTAGGTTTGATGTGTGGAGGAAGTTAAGTTCTGTCTGTGTATTTTGGTTTCTTCTTATCTTTTAAATAAGTTGTCCTGCAGCCTCTTGAACTCTCATGAGGATTTAAAAAGAAAATGAAAGTTTCTAAGAAAAGATCCACACGCTCTTGATAGACGGTCCATATTTTAAATGCCCTGAAATCTATTCTCAGAATCTTTTGCTGTTATCACACAAACATCCGCTTTTGTTAAAATCACCAGCTCCTGTTATACTTCAATGGGTTTAAAGAAACCCTACAACCTCTGAGCTCATGTCATCCTACAAAAACCCTTTAAATAAACGTATAAATGCATGGTTGACAAGATAAAGACACAACTGCGTGTTCGTGGTTCTGAAATGTTGATAGTGCGGAGATACAGTACAAGGGTTTTCACCTGACTGTGAAGATGTGTTGGGGATCTCCTGCTGTGTTGGAAAGGTCTTGAGCAACAGCTTGAGGAGAGAGGAACGAATAGAATCGCTGATTTCCTCTTCCTTAAAGCCGAGTTTTACTGCTCTGTTGAGGGGGAGAGTTAAGAGAGCTCCCTCTCCTTTGCCGTGCACTCTTTTTTCCCTTTGGACCTTCAATTGCAGATCCTCATGGCGAGAAGGAGGGGGGGTGCAGCGCTGTACTTTCCTTTGATGTAGTGGGAACGTGACGGATCTGCTAGCCAGTGTCTCGCAGCGTGGAATCACTAACCCAGGCTTACCTAACGGGATTTGGTAGGACCGCTCTGGTGTCCCTCAGTGCCATGTGTGTCCTCAGCTCATGCCCCCAGCACTAGCGTGGAAGATCCCTGTTAAAGAGAACACTACATTTACCAGCAGCCTTCCATGTCCACACTGAACGTTGTAGATAGCTCCTTGTGTAGCTTTTCTTGGTCTCACTATAGGGTGGAAAGTAGCATCTTGTCTTTAAGGAGCTGGACTCCATTGATCATCTAATTTTCTTTACGTTCGGTCTAAACATGTATATTTTAATCTACAAATAAATGAAGCAGCATATAGTAACTGTCAGAAGCAGACTCATTATTCCCTTGCTGTATGTAGCAAATCAGTACATATCAAAGAGTTACGCTGACATTGATGACATCTGCTGTGCAGCTCCATCAAATGGTGAACTGTGTGTTTCGTGAAGGACAGCAGCAGGGACCTCACACAGAAGAAACACTTGGCGTCTCGGAGTCTTTGTAGTGCCGCTGGGTCGTGGTGTTTTATGAAAAGCGCCGTTAACGCCAAGGTTTCTCATGGTCCTCCGCTGCATGGTGATGCTGGTTGACACATTTACTCCATATGCACGGGGCTAATGACGCCATGTGGTTGCAATCAGCTTATCAGTGTGTTTCATCTTGTTAAATGGAGCTCAGCGGACTGATTTGTCTACCAGGACCAGGAGATATGCATCGATGTGTAAGATGAGAACCAGCAATAGGACGATCCAGGTTTAAGTGTGTGGTGGATTTATTGTTCTTGACTGATTCAAGCATAAAGAGTTTTATTTCTATATGTTTATACTCTTAATGAGATGATGAAACAAAAAACTAAATGTGTTTTGTGTTCTTGAAGTATTATCATTCTTCTAAAATAAAGCTGACACTCCATTTTAATCACATAAAAAACGCAGAGGTGATGAAGATAAAAACCCAGCTATAGATCATCGGCAGTGGCTCAGGGGGTAAATGGGGGTCTACTCTGTCTACCAGTTTAGGTTTCCATGGCAAGATACTTAACCCCAAATTACTACTGAAGCCATGTCTATGGTGTTGAATTGAATTGAAGTTGCTTTAGATTAATAGTCAGCTAAATGACATACAATGTATCAAGTCATTTAATGTTCAAAGTGCTGAAAACGTGTGCTTCTCTATGTGTGTGAGAAAAGCAATATGGAGTGTCATGGTCGTGAGCGTGACATCCAGGCGCACACTTAACCCCGGTTGATGTTTATTTTGGGCATGTGTTACCGCTCAAAGCGAAGCACTCATAGATGATGACACTTTTCTTCGCTCCCCATCCTCCCACTGAATTGGGAGAAGCTTAACCAATCAAGCAGTTCAGCCTGGAGCCAGCCAGTCAGGCTTTCTATGGACGACAACACCTGCTCAGAGGACTTCACTCCTCACCAGCAGCCTGCCACTGATCTCCAGGGTCAGCCGAGGGCCCCGCCAAGGTTGTCCCCTATGCCCAATTCTGTTTTGATTGGCCTGGGTGTGGACTTCCTGTAAGGGTGGATCAGAAATGGAGACAAGAGGGCGGTGTGTGTGGAGTGTCAATTTGTTGCGTAACTGTTGTTGTTGTGCTTTTTTTTTATTGGCTTTCCGAACTAGTTTTATGGTTGGTTGTTTCATAAAAAAATGAAGTTAATTGGCCGCTACAGCACACATTTCCTTGACCCGGGTCAGTCTTTAAACCGCTTGACAGAAGTCCCTAAAAGCTGATCACAGCACCTCACTGTTCCCTGATACAGTCATAAAGTGAGTAAAAAGATGAATAGCTTTATTGACTTCATCCTGATAGCTCGTAGGTCTATAGAGGCGAGCAGTGTTCCAGCTAACTGCAGCACCAAGGAACAATAGGACCACAGGAGTGAAACATGGGTGCAAATCCCGCCGGCTGTGTCCGGACTTCAGAGGAGCTCAGACAGCCCTCACTTTGTCCGGCTAAGAAACGCAGCTATGATCAATAGCTGCTCTGTTTTGTATGAAGTTGGTCAGTCTCTGGCACGCTCTTTCCCTCCCTCCTTCTCTTTGCCGTTTCATATTTTTCAGAAGCTCATTATTTCGTTGCTGCTGTGGGTGTGAGTGCTAAAGAGGCTCACATGCAATGTGTATCTGACAGCGCTGAAATATTAATGGTCCCCAGTGTAGGAGGTTTGGTATAGGGCCTGCATAGTTACAGTACAAAGGGTGCCTTCTCGCCACCAGGCTTTATTAGCAGAGCTGCTAAATGAATGGATGGATATATCTTTCTTCATTTCTCCTTTTTGTTTTTTTGCGCTAAACATTGGACCGCTTTCTGTTCTTCTAACAATTTGCAACACATACACTAAACGGGTATACGGTGGAGACTCACTCACACACACACATTGTGTCAGAGCTACACTACTGAGCTCTCCGTGGGAGGACAAAGAGGAGGGCTTTTGCTATCAGTTCATTTTGTGTGGTCTTGGCCATAAAAAACACGCTGTTCTTTGGCTGTGAAAAAAACCTGTCTTTAATTTTTGGGAAGCCCGTAAAAGTTTGTCGCTCCTTTCATATCGGCTGCACAATTGAAAACAAATGCTACATGCTCCCCTCCTCTCCTTTGAACTGGGCAATTATGGAGTTGTGAAAATAAAAATCAGTCTGTAGATCTCTTTACCCCCCTCTCTTCTTCTCTCTTTTTCCTCCTCAGTCACTTTCTTTTTTCTCTCCTTCCCCCTCTTGTTTTTGAAGAAACCGAGGGGGATCACTGATGTCAAAGTCAAAACCAAGAGCATTAAGAAAACTGGCGAAATGCAATACAGCTGCAATCCGACATGACGCTAGAAAATAGGGCTGAGGAGCAGAAAGCCTCTCTCCCGTATTCCCAGGGCGCGCAACTGCTCCCGGCCTTGGCTTTGATCTCTTCAAAGCCTCCTGCCTCCTACTAGATGGAGAGTCTTGGCTGCCGCTCGTGAGCGCTGGAGAGAGGCAGGCAGGGAGGTGGGGGTGTTTTTTTGGGGGGGGGAAGACGTCGTCTTTTCCTTTCCAGGGCTGAAATCAATCACGGTGCCGAGGCAATTATGTGTAATTCAACCCCAGCCAGATTAGTGACTCTTGTTACCTGAGCGACCGGAGCTCTGTAATCTGTGAGACACACCGGCCTCACCAGCAGAGGAGAAGCCGGGAACAGGCGAGGGCACTTGAGGGAAAGGAGGGGAGAGAGGGGAGAGGTGCTGAAAAGCAGGCTGCCATGCTGCTGTCCAGCAGAGCAGAAAATCACAGTACAATGGAGTGATTACACTTGCAGATGTAGCCATATTTATGATGAGGCGGCGGACGGAGAGAAAAGAAAGGAGGACGAGTGCTGATTGCCATGGAGATTGCTAGTTAGTGTGCTAACTAGCCGGCTCTCTTTTGTGTTAAAACATGTGCGTAATGTCACCTCCACTGTGCTTCCAGTCCTCCCCCACCACCCGCCACCCTGTCCCCCCCTCCAGTGCCATATCTCTATCCCTCATGCCCTCCACAGCCGGCTCCGAAATGCAAGCTCGGCCAAGGCTCCTGCCCGAGGCGCCCAATTTACTACGGCTGGAGAAAAACTCAGTGGCCCCAAGTCACAGAGGAAAACAGCCGAGCTGAATGCTGCTCTTTCCCTGCAGTTCGTCTGATCTGTGCAACTGTTTCAGTGTCTTAACACGCAGCAGTGTAACAATTTACACCCTTGTGCTTTTTTTTTTATGTGGCTTACTGAGGAGATTTATCCCAATTATGTTTGCTCCTAGTTTAGGCAAATCTAGAACAGGGTAGGAGTTTGATGCTCATGACTAATACCACCCAGCGTACGTTATGAGATTATTTATTTGTATGACTTTTATTTTAAGTCTATGATGATTTCATGTTGCTATAAGAGACAATTAATTGGAAGTTCGGTAGAGGGCAGAGGAAAAAGAAAGCTTTGCATTATTGTTGCTTTAATTAGAAATATATGATTGCCTTGGCTTTTATTCTACGCTCGGTTGTAACAGCTGATGTCACAGGGATGAGAACGAGGCTTTGTTTTTGTTCCTCGGCAGTCACTTGATGCAGGATGATGAAACCCACAAAGATATCTAGCAAGAATGTGTTTGTTCATCTGATGAGCTCGCCTTGTGCTCCATGTTTTTCTTTTGATCATCGGATTGCTTGGTCGGTGATTGAAGGCACTTATTTTTTTCTCGTGGGATGTATACATCGAATAAATTACATACCCGTAATAACAGAACGTCGATGATCAGGACCTTGATGTCTGCGATAGTTTTAACAAGGCAGGCTGACAGGGAAGTGGAGCTGACTCTAAAAATATAAAGGTCACGCTGAATGGATTATTTGGCATCAATGGAGCCACCATCCAGCTCAGCATGGAGCCCTTAAATCCACTCGCAGCTATAACCCCTCGGCTCTGGGGCCAGGTGACGCTTTTCATGTCCTCCAATGGAGACATCACAGAGGCATCCTCCACTTTGAGTTGCCCGTCATCAAACAATGCATCAAAACATCAAATCAATCCACCCCCACCTTATCTGTCTTTTGATATGGGGGAAATGGAAGTGCCCAACACACACAAGCCACTCACCACAAATCTACATTTCTGTTTCTCCCATTGGAAACACTGACACTCCTTACTGAAGCCATGCTATAGTTAACATGTAGAGGTGGACTTTTTATTTGAAAAGTTCAACAGTGATTACCTTGGATCACAAAACCACTCAAATTCGCCTTGCTTGTTTATTTATTAATAAAAGGGTAAAAACAGGTTGTCTATGGGATTACAATAGGATTACTTTTGCCAACAGATATTAGGCTATACTTCTTCAATTCTGCTTTTTGAGATACCAATAATGTGTGTGAACATGGTTTAATTAACACTGTAACGATAACTTGTCAAACGCTGTTGAATTAAAGGAAAGACCAACCACATGTTGACTGCAGTAACCTCTATCAATAACCTCATTACATTGGTTAGCCTGATTGGTTAGTTAAGATTTCCGGGCATTTTAATTGCCCTGTACCGCAAACTACTTTCAGTATTTTCCTAAATGAACTGCTTATTAGGTTTTGGAATTATCAAATGATCTGCTGAATTTCCAATCAATTAAAAATTATAATTCTAAGTGTTATATCAAATGATTGGTTGTTTTATCTGACCAATTGCCCCAATCCCAAAACAGCTCAACTCATTCAATCTTACATTTCTTTCTTAACACACCAATGAGATTATATTAAAACAGTTAAGCAGACCACTATGAATAAACCCAGCTAAGGGCTGAATTACAACCTCAGCGTATTCATTGTTTGGTTTATCAATCTGTTTGTGTGGCGTCAGGTGCACGAGTGTGCCTCGTAATGTTGCTGTAACCATATGCCCTGAGCCTAAGGAGCCCCTTTTGTGCTCCAAAGATCCACTATTACCATTTCTTTAGAGGTATCGAGGGATAAGCAGATGTTGTCGGTTGCGATGTTGTACATGGTCATTGTTTTGTTTGTATTAAATCCCACAAAAACCCTGCCACAGAGCTAATTGATGGGGTGGAGATTTCATGTGACCGTTCAGATCCTTGGAGAGGTTCTTCAAGTGTTCCCTGCTTCTGTGGGGACGGAGAAAAGCCATTTGTTCGGAGGGGATCAGATTTGAATAGCATTGTGCTTTTCATTCAGATCTTAACAGGGGCGTGTGCGGCCGGCTGGAAAGAAACCCTGAAATGTGTGGTTTGATTAATGACTAATTCCAGGCTGAAAGGCAGTTGTTGGTAGTCTTTACCACTTAATCCCTTAAAACGAGGAATCACACCCAAACAGTGGGCTGCTGGTATTGTTGTACGGTCTATAAGGTAAAGGAGCTGAAAGGTTTGCAATGTGATCCACTGCCATGAATGCTCTTAGCACTGTGGCCTGATCCTTGTCTCATTATAGACTGGACCAAAACAGATATATGGGTTGTAACCTAATGAAGAAACATCTGGGTGTTGACCTAAAAAGATATACGTTTAGAAGATAAAGGTGTAAAGCTTTCAATGGCTAAAAAGGAGCATTGGTATATATCCTTTATTTAATCAGGTCAAAAGTCCCATTGAGATTTAAATCAGTTTTTCAAGAGCGACCTGGCCAAGAGGGCAGCATGAACAATGTTACAACAGATAAAACACAGACGATACAGGCAGACGAATACAGCTGTCGTAAAACACAAATGAAATGGCACATTATCCAGTCATATCAAATCATTTGATCATGTGACTACAGGGTCAAAAGTTCACAACGAGGCCAGGACACAGGTGTCTTGCCACCTGAGGCAATGTGGCTTCCTGTGACCTGCAGTTTCCAAAGCATTACATAACCTATAGCCCTACCACAAGGAATTTTACTTTTAACAAACATCAGGCATTTTTCTTAACACTGATTTTATTTTTCCATTACGCCATCAATGGCACTGGCTCACTAACTCATCAATATTTTTATTCTTTGTATTCTTGCACGTTGTGTCGGTGGGTGTGCATCAGTCTGCTTGAGGAAAACTAGGTCAATACTCTCTACAGCTCAGGCAGAAGCAGCTCTCATTCAAATCACCTCCCCATCCACATTTTCCAAGTGTGTGCCATTGAAAACCATCGCCTCGACATCCTGTCTGCCTTCCTTCGTCCGGCTCTCCCTGGCTAGCTTGCAATGCTAATATTTACCCCTTCGTAATGTGTGATCGGAGCTAGCTGCAGCTTAGAGAGAAGAGTACTTTCTCTTGCTCTCGTCTCCACAGGTAGAGGCACACAAAGACCCCCACCAGACTCTATTTTCCCACTCAACGCTGAGCTCCCAAATCCAAACTGACAGCCATTCATGCCCAGAATACCTGGGCGAAAGCTGAGGGGGGGAAACACTATCTAGGTGTAGCAGGCAAATCCGCTCTTGTTCGACGGATCTATGAAGCTCCTGCATAAGGCAACTCATCAGCACTTTTCCTCCATTCTGCACTGCATATTCTCTGCCTCTTTCTCCATGTCTCTGGTTATTGTGCAGACTGCAGAGGCTAAGGTTGTAGTGCTTGCCACAGAAAGTTAGCTTGTGCTGCGATTTTATTTGTGTACATCTCTCAGGGCCTTTGAGTGTTGTTGTTGAATGTGGATGTTGGCACCCCCGTGCCGCCTGGCATGAATGTTGCTACTCAGCAGACCAGTGCTGGCTTCTAATGATAAATCATGCAGTGTGTTAATGCAGCAGCAGGGAGGCTATAAATAGTTGCTGGAGAGGGATGACGATTGATTCAGGAAGAAAAATAAAACATGCTTCAAATATGTTCTGCTTGTGGTCAGCTTTAACAGCTGCTTTGAAACATAGGGTCGGGAGATTAACACTGGCCCTGATCAGATAAGTGACACAGCTAAAGGCTTTATGAATCAGATTGTATCGCAGTGAGACACGATGACACTGTCCAGATAAACCAGGTAGACACCATTTTTCCAAGACTGGTGTCATCTAAGGTGTTGGGATTTTCAGTTAACCTGTCTCAATAGATCCAGGGAAAGTGATGGAGGTAGCCATGTTCTTTTGTGGTGGCGCAGATGCCTAGTGGGGGCTCAAGTGTGTGTGCGGTCTTCCTTTTGTGTATGTGTTTGCGTGTGCGCTCGCAGGCCTGCTGACACTGGCACTTCAGCAGAATGTTTGCCCTTTCCTCAGTCCTTTGATGTGACCAGGTCCTGCTGTGATAATGAGCCCTGTGCCCCGCCGCAAGGTGAACATCCTGCAGTTCGCCCAGGGCTCTGCCAGAGCAGCATCCCAACCCCCACCACTTCTTAAACACGCACACGCACACACGCACACGCACACGCACACTGCACACTCTCTTCAAATACAACAGTGCAGGAGCCAACCACCTCTCAGAGCTGATCAACTTATACAAAGTGCTTTGATAGTGTAACAATACCACACTTTTTAATTTGGCCTGAATGTATAGGCATTGTACATGCAACATTAGGGCCTGGCAATATGGCTAAATAAGTGATCGATATCATGCTATATTGCAAGATAAAGATGTATTAACAAATGGATAATGACATAGAAATAATCAAATAGGTTGTTAAAGGCAAAGTCTCTTGGTTGGTGTTCTGTATTTTTCCTCCTATCAATAAATCCCGTTAGAAGACCAAAACCAATAATGTATTGATTCCACTAAGAGGTACTTTATGTGCCAAAGCCTGATGTATCTTACTTCTCCGTCTCAAAGTTGGAGTAAAACAACGAAGCAGAAGCCTGAATGCTAAATCAGCATCAAACCAAACTGTTGCTCTGGGTTACTTCATCCATTAATCATGGGCAGTGTAGTTTAACCCAACATAAAGCATCCGGTTGCAGTTTGTGTGTTGCTACGCTGCAGAATATAGTGCCTAGTGACCTCTTAAGTTATATATTCTAAAAACAAAAATGTGCCTTTTTAAAAAGTGTATTCATGACATGTTTTGTTTTTTTAACCGTTACTTCTTCAGTAGCAACAAATGGGGTTTGTTCAAGAGTGTCAGACTTTTGTATTATTAATAATAGACAGAATAACATGTTGCTGGTTTGGGTCTTTTCATTGGATTTGTTAACATATACAAAAAAAAGAAATACCATATGTACCAGACAAAGAAATCATTACAAGTTTCATAAAAAAAACTATTTGCACTACGAAAACAAAGTTTAAAACAATGACACAGTTTGAAATGCATCACAGCATTATCAAATACAAACTGTGGCATGACTTCACCAATATACAAAATAACTAAACTCTTGTCCAACTCTATATTGCTGCTTCAAACCTTCATGACCCCGCGCTAAACAATTTTAAGCCTCTTTGAAAGGCTAGTATACTCCACTGTTTCTACTTAACTCGCTGTGGCTTAACAGTAAAGAAAGACAGCAGCTGGATCATTTCTAATGTTCTGTTGCTGCTTTTCTAGTTGTTTTAAATAGCTCCACGACATATAGAAATGAAGAGTTGAACACTTTTAAAAAAGCGAATAAAGCCTTTTCATCTGGGGCAGGCATATTTCACACAAATTATCTCCTTTGCACTTTCAAAATGTCCGTGTGAGAGCTAGTGTGATTGGTTTGCTTGGAGCACACGTTCTTCATGCCAACTGAAGGATGATGGGTAATCCACCTCGTTCTATTGGGTTGTGCTTGATGAAGACAGTCAGCTGTTAATAGCTCCTTTGTGCTCATATGTAGCATTTATGTGTTAAATTCATTAGGCGGGTGGGTATTGCGGTCTCTGATCCCTTCACCGTGTACCATGACTGTATCTTACATGTGCCTTCTTGAGTCAGTGGGTTTCTTGTGTGTGTGGATTTTATGTTAATGCAGTGGCATGTGTCGGTCATGTGTGGTTAATGTGATGTGTGGGTGTAAGGGTGGTATTTAAAGGAGAGCGTGACAAGTTTGCTCACACGATAAATTAGTGCTGCTATTAAAACCATAACATTGCTTATGTGGCTATTTTTGTGGTCTAAGTAGTTCACCAAACATGAACTGCTTCAAGTTTTTGAATACTTTTTGGTGTTTTTAAACATTTTACCAACTGGCCTTCAGAGTCACCGCTTCTGTTGGACTCTGACTAGTATGAGGGATTTATGATTGAAATAAAAAGAAGGGAGGAGAAGGGGGGGGGGCTTCACAGATGTAGATGTCTCTCCAGGGTAGGCTTTTCCTGTTATTCCCAGCCTCTTCCACTCCTGTCCCTGTGGTTGGCTTCGCTTGTTCGTCTCATTACCCCGGGCGCGTGGCGCTCGCTGGCGGCCCAGCTTTTTTCTCCATTAATTGGGTTTCGTTACATTAAGCCCCCTGGCCGAGGGGCCATCCTGCCAATAAAACATTCCATTTTTAGCACTCCACTGCAAGCTGGTGGGGTTCAACCCACTCTGCGAATGGTAATTGGTTATTTATTTAAGCTTCCTCAGGTTGGTCTCCACTGGTTTTGGTAAAGAGGGACGGGGGAGGGCGGTCCCATTCAAGCTTCTATGAGAGAATGTTTGCTCACTTTTGTTTGGCAAAGGTCGAACAACTTGCACACAAACACGCCTGAGAGTGAACACCTGGTCTGATGGTGACTGTGTAAAATCTCTGCTCTGGGCACACCCTAATTCATGATTCAACTTTCAGCACTTTCAGAGGCTTTCCATTTGTTATCTTGTCGTCTTTGTGATCACCATTGTGGGTGGAAGCGATATTTAAAAAGTCAGTGGTGAGTGGGTGCTCTCTGGTTCACAGTTATTTAAAGAATTCCCTCCCTTAATTTTTAAAGGAAATGTACTGCGATGAATTGATGATACTGGTTGTAAACACAAACCAATTTCTTGCCTCAACTTTTTGTTTTATTTTAGTAATACCCTGTGCTTTATTTTAGATTTTTTTTGTACGCACCTTTTCTTGTATAATGCAGATCATCCTGTGAGTAGGTGACGTTGGGTTTGGGGGTAAAAAGGGCTTCTTAGTGAAATATTTAGCAGCATGGGAATCCATAGCCACCACTTGAGCTGCCATCTCCCCAGCTGTTTGTGAAACACCTCACATGGTTTCTACACACTTGATTGTAGCTGCAGGCGCGAAGAGTCCTCATCGCATATAAATTACAGAAGTGGGAAGTGATTATTATGAAATTCCTGCTTTCCCTTTTTTCCACTCCACTCCGCAGAAGTGGTATAATTGAGTGGAGTACAAAAGCCGTGCTGTGAGGGGGAAAGAGGGAGAGAGAGGCTAAAAAGGCAATATTGCAGGGATAGACTTTGCATATACCACATACACAAACACGTGGCAGGATGCTGGTGGAATCTGACAGAATACAAGCTCCGAGACACCGGCGTGCCGTCAGATAAAACTCTCCCTCCGCAAAAACAAAAAACGAAACGTCCCATTTCCCTTACCCACCCCCAATTTCAGACGGCACGCCAAGTCACTGGCTCCCTGTGCTGAAACACGCTGGAGTGTCTCCTCCATGGAGGGCTTCCTGCCAGCTCCAGTTCCGCACAATGAATTTCTCTTAAAACCACATCTGAGGGGTTCTTTAGAAGGGCCGGCCAAGCCTGGATATGAAATTCCAAATGGAACGTTTTCTTTTCAATCCTCTCCGCCTCTCCTCTTTCACTCTCCCTGAAAATATGAATAGAAAGATCCTAAGCCTATTATTTCTACTATACAATAAAGGGGACCTCCAATATGGCCGCCCTCCATCGAAACACCACTGCTGCTACGGGAGTCAGGATGGGAGGGGTTCAAATTGCAGCGATGTACCATGACCCCTCACCGTTGTGGTCACTTGTGGGTCTCCAACTACTTCCTGCAGGACATTTGTAAAAGGGTGTCGTGCTGGTTGTGCGCAAACTCGCCAAGAGCTGCAAGAAGAAGGGACGCAAGCCAACACGTCTCCACCTGGAGGAATTATAGCGGTGGTTCCATCACGGCTGTTGGCACGTGAAGACTTTAACGTAACGGTCAAACATGTGAGGATTTTTCCATTAACCCTGATACAGCTTTCCACATCGTAATGTATGATCGTTTAGAGAGATGTGAAGATGTTAAATGACAATTCATCGCTCTGTCTCTCTTCCAACAGTAGACGATGGTTAGCTACAGCATGCGGTTTATGTAAATGTCAACCCAAATAGCATAAATTGTGTATTGGTCACAGAGGCCTGCAGGTTTTTCCTCTGGTGGATTTTTGCCACAAAGGAAGCAGTTTATTAAGAAGTTGAGAAAAATAGGATTTGACAGCTGTAACCTGGAAAATCACAAAAGAGGGCATCTCTATTATGATGGAATAATCACTCTTTCTTGGGTGCTAAGGAGCCAATCAACTTTTTCTTTCGTAGTTTATGTGTTTGTGATCAAGAATAAGAAACTAACTTTTGTTTCCGCTCACTTTTTCTTTCTCATACAGACTTTTAGCTAAAATGTTAATCCCTCCGGTTCTTATCTCATTCCCACAGTATAACAAATGGGAGTGGAGAGGCGTAAAATAATATGGGTGAGAATGCTATCATTTAGCCCCTGGTGTAGGCATGTCCCAGCCAACCCCAGCCCCTGTTAGCCCTCCCTAATAAGCCCCCCCCTCAGTAGGACACTCCCAAACTTGCAGATTATCCCGTCACCTTTGACTCTTGTTGACAGGGGTCAAAGAACTACACTCACCTGGGCTAATAAGAAAAGCCTCTTCATCATGGCTGAATTAGTTTTCAGGCAGGATTTGTCTTCTTTGAAGGCAGTGTGTTGCCATCTTAGATTCTACAATGTGAATGATGGCATATGAGGATCTTATCAAAAGAGGAACTGGGAAAGAAATTAGCCCAAGGAGATGAGATTCTTATCCCGATAAAGAATCTGATACAGATGATCTGTCATGTGGTTTAGGATACCGAGATATTTATGGACACACACACACACACACACACACACACACACACACACACACACACACACACACACACTGCCCTTTGTGTTCCCAGTTGGGACGTTCCCAGAAGGTGGGGAGAAGGAGAGGGGGGACTTAAGTTGAGACTGGTGCCAGCCTGCGAGAGGTTTGGGGAGAAACGCAGACATTCCAGCCGTGTGTGTGTGTGTGTGTGTGTGTGTGTGTGTGTGTGTGTGTGTGTGTGTGTGTGTGTGTGTGTGTGTGTGTGTGTGTGTGTGTGTGTGTGTGTGTGTGTGTGTGTCAATCACCACTTAGCACTACAGGAATGTCACCTTGGCAAACACCTCACTAGGACAACGGAGTGAGAGCTACTAAAGAGCAGTCCCTTGATTATATCGTCTCTTCAGACATTTATGCTCATGCTAAATTTAGACTCGTAGCTCCAACAACATTATTAATCAGGTGACTCTTCCTGTGGGAGCTTCTGATTTCATGAAACTCCTTTGACTCAAATCTTGTGGGAGCCATTTGGTAGAAGTGTCTCACCTAACAGTGACCCGACGTCTCTCAGATTAGCCGTATGTCCTGTGGAGGTGATATTTTGACTCCAGCTCTGCTCCGGGCTCACATTTTGAATAGTAGATTTAGCATGGCTAAGCGTTGCCATGTGTTTCGTTGCTGCTGAAGCATGTAAGCGCTATTGGCCGGGGCCGGGATTCTTCAGGGCCTGGCTCCGGGTCTATTTTAGTTTTCAGGAGGCAGGTTCTCTGTGAGTCAGCCGGGGATGGGGGTCCTGTGGTCAGGCCGCTGTCGGCGTGATTACCCCTGCATTAAGCACTGCTGCAGACATCTGTCTCACTCGCACTCTCTCTCCGAAGCCACCCTCCTTCTCCTCCTCCTCCTCCATCCCTCATCTCTCCTTCCCCCGGCTCTCGTTCTGTAATGAACTCCCCTTATTCACCAGCTAATGACTGCCTTTGATCTCCCGCCTAAGACCTCTGATCCAACTCTACCCGGCGAATCTCTCCTTTCTCCCCCCCCTCTCTTTTTGCTTGCTCGCTCCTATTCGCTCCAGCTCTGTTTCTCTTTTGCTGTCTCAAACATACTCATGCACCTCCTTGACTTGTTTTTCCTCCTACCTTTAGGGATTAGGGGTTTCAGTCCTGCTCACCTACAGTAGGCTACTAAAAGAGAAGAAATGTAACTTTAGTTTCTTCATAAGCTATTCTATAGGACCACCCGCACTATGTGCCGTACCAGTCCCCAGATCATGTGGCAGGGAACAGGGAGATATTTTACATGTAATAATGCATTTCAAACGTATGTATAATGTTGTCCCTCTTACATATTGTTTTAAAATGTTCTTGTATTTCTCTCCACAGTCCAACAAAGTCCCTGTGGTGCAGCCGTCCCATGCAGTCCACCCACTCACCCCGCTGATCACGTACAGCGACGAGCACTTCGCACCAGGACCCCACTCTGGTCCCCACCCCCAGGATATGAACAAACAAGGTAGAGACCATTAAACAGATCTGAACCCGTTTCAACTCTCTTAGCTTGTGCAACCACTGCCGTCCTTTTGCTTTATGAATTCAAAGTATTCGCAATGTTTCAAAAACAAAAACAGCTTTCTTTTCATTTCTCACCTGAACTTTTTAAGTAAGAAAAAGGAGGACGTCTCATTAGAGTTATACAGATTCAACATTTTTCACCAAAGACTAACATCAACTTAGTTTATATGCTGATACAGATACGGATGAAATACCAGTGCGGCCTTTTCTCAAATTTCGAATCTATATACCTCACTGCAGCAAACTCAATGTAATCATTCTAATCTGTTGTTCCCATTCTGTGCTAGAACGATCTACATCTAAAGAAAAAAGTATATTCAAGCGACAGTTTGTTTAAATTTAAAGCAGTATTGATATATTAATGGACTGAATTGCATATTACTGGGGTTTTAATGGTGAAATTTCACAATAACACATTTTATCACAAAGCATTGCTATTCGAATTTGGCATTCGAACGTCTAAAAGTTTGACAAAACACTTTCAGAGTAACGGGGTTTGAAAGGGCTAGAGCCACTGTTTCAATCTAGAAATAGTCTGCTTTTATTTAAAAATACTTCAACAATGTCTCAGTCAGAATTAAACTCCCAACTGAGATTTTATTTTTACCTCCCTTTGTTCAAACACTGTCAGAAAAGAGACACACAAACTAAGACGTGTCACAGCAAAGCCATCCTTCCTCTGGGCTCATTTGAAGCGGCCTGTGGGACTTCACTCTGAGCTCAGCTGCCCTCTCGCTCTGCTCTCTGCCGCACAGTAACAACATCAAGCTCCAGCTCTGACAGCAGCAGAGCAGCTCCTCTCAGTTTGGACGGATCCTCAGCCCCGCCGCGGCAGCTGGAGACTTTGGCAGCTTCTCACAGATGCAAAAAAATGTGGGCCCCGCCATAGTTTTGTCCCGCACCTTTTCCCTCTCGTCTTCCTGGCTCTCTTCTCCTGCGGCTGCCAGTTGAAAAGGAGGAGAGGGATCAGACAGGATGTAGGCGATGATGAAGATGAGGCTAGGATGTTCTGAGGGACTGGCTATAAATAACAATGTTAGAACGGAGTACACAGCGTAGTCAGATGAAGGCAGTGAGATGAATCAAGGAGCTGTGCCCCACATATGTCAGAGGAATCAGGCTTCAGACACATTTTAGTTTCATATTTTTGGACAAGAATCCATTTTGGTTACAGAGAATTGAGCCATAAATAGACTGTGCACACTTTGAAGGAATGTCTTGTCATGTAGTACAATTCATGAAGTAATGCTCCCTGTCTCCTCTTCATGTTGGTCCATCCAGATCCACTAAGTTTCTGACAAACACAGAAGAGCCAAAAGACCCCCGGAGGTCTTTTTTTTCTTACTATATTTGATCTTTGCATTCACAGCCCAACCGAAATCCATGTCCAAGCGATCTAGTTGCGGAATACGCTGCAAATGATTTCCCTAGGCATATTCGTGTGTGTGTGTGTGTACCAGCAGCAGCCAAGCTGAAGATGCTTAAAAGGGAAATCTCTCTTATTCTCTTTCTTGCCGTCCCTCTCTCTCTTCCTTTCTCGCTCTCTCATATCGACCAATCGCAGCTCTGCCTTCCTTAGTGGGCTCAGACTTTGATCTGCTCGTTAATTATGAAAAACAATCATGGATTTTCTCATTATGAGCTCTAATATGCACAGGGCCGCAATGCAGGATGGAAGGTCGAGCAGAGGTGGGGGGGGGGATTGAACATTTTACATTTAAACCGTATATGGTTTTTAATATAGCACTAATTGAAAATACATTGTTTTCAGGTGTTACAATGAAAACCATGGTAGTGTTTTGACAGGAAATGGATGTGTGAAACGCTGTTGGGTGTGACGGGAACGTGTGAATTAGGGGGGGTGGGGAGTAATTAGGCACCTTAGGGGTGTGAGTGACAAGGTTAACACGCCGGGGCTCTCTCCGCCTCCCTCACCGCCTCACCCCCTTGCCTCCTTCCCTTCTGCCCTCAGGAGGGCCCTCAGGAGTGTTAGGTGGTGGATTAGATGGCAGGGGGTAGTGCTATGCGTGCTATGAATCCTCCGCTGCAACATTGGCTTTAGAGATATAAGCCCCCCGCTCGCCCTGCCTCTCCGAGGAGGGAGGCCCCTCCAGACCACAGCCTGGAGAGAGAAAGGAAAAAGATAGAGCTAGGGAGAAAAGACTGGCTCCAGCAGGGATTAGAAAATGGTGCTAATTTGGAGGCATGTGCCCTCTTTTCTTTGTGTGTGTGTGTGTTTGCGCAAACATGGAGACACACTGCACTTGTACGTGTATGCACAGTATTTCCTGACATCTACTCCCAAGACATGATTATCTCTAGATTTAGTTACATTTGAGGTATTTTACAGCCCCCTCTTATTACACAACAGCAACCCCTTGACCTTGAGACCCAGTAGGAGCAGGCGAGCTGGAGATGGAGGAGCTTAGTCCTGAAGATCCACCGACTGTTAGTCCAAGTCAATCCCGTGTCTACAGGGAAAGCTGAGGCCTCTGGCACAAAGAAGAAGTCTCAATTAACCAGATTAAAGACTCTGAAATGCTCTTGGAGGACTCTAGCTTAGCGGGGGAAATATCATCCCTTTCTTACTGGTTGATAATGTGAGGTCAAGAAGCGTCTTCAAGCCTGACGTGGCCCGTCCTTGACTTGTATTAGAGCAGGATGGGAAGGTGGGGAGTGAAAGATTTAAATGAGGGGGGAAATGAACCCAAGAGCTACACCTAAAAGAGTTACCTAAACCCAAAACAATGAACTTACACGATTGCCTCAAGTCTTTTAAATTGATGTAATTAAAAGTGTTCACATCTTGTTTATTATATATGAACCACTGTAATGAGAGCCAGATCCCTAACCCTAACTGCAGGTATTTCCACACCATAACTGTGGAAGCAGACACACACAATACTAATAAACAATAGAAATAACTACAGTCAAATGTATACTTAAATAGTAAATCAACTCAAAAAGTTGTGTTCCAGAAAAATGTTCTAGTAACTCACAATATTAAAGTAAGTAGTAGTTTACAGTGTCTGATCAAAGAATATGTAAACACAACTTGACAAAGCTTCCAATGCTAACCTTTGGTAATTGTTTGTGATTTGTTGTCTTTTATATCCTTTAAATGTAATGTCTTTCATGCTCCTCCTTTTAAATAGTTTGCAATATGTTTGTATGATCCTAATGAAGCCCACCAGGCATGGACACATGGTCTCACTTTATTCTAAAAGAGTTCCTTTAGTTTTCACACCTTCTAACTTTGGTCACCTGCCAGTCTCTGATTCTCAATGCTTCGGCTCATGTAGATTGGTACATAGCTCCCCAGGATGGACATGGACACATGTGGAAGATGTAACTTGTATAATAACGTCCCTTTGTATGCAATTGTTGTTTGTCTAGGAATGCAGAGGCATCACCAAGACATGTCCAACTTCTACTCCCTGTCTCCTGGAGGAGTCGGGCAGATCACGCCACCGCTGGGATGGTGAGTCAGACAGACAAAAGCAAACGCTGCATGCACAGTTTGTTCATGTAAACAGGGAGCGATTACTCTCCTGTCTCTTTGCATCAGATGCACTCAGCTCTGTGTAGAGACTGGAGGAAGGCTGGCCTGCAACAGCAGCTACACAGGGAGGTCTGCCTCCGGCTGCTGTTCTGCTGCGGCTTCAGCCACACGGCCCCTCTGTGCCCAGCACATGTCAAACACATCACCACATACATGCCCCTGCACGACCATATGGCTGCTTGACCCCCATCAAAGCACCCTACAAGCTCTCTTTGGGCACTACTTGTTTGAAGTACTTTCTTTTTGACGACAGTCCTGTCACTGTCATTCCTTTTGACTTTTTCCTCTCTTGTTCTCTCTTTCTTCTACCTCGCGTTCTCTTCCTCTGTCAGCGATATGTTTGTAAAGACACAGCTTTAGGCGCACACTGAGTGAAGCCAGATGTAAGTTGCAGGACCAGGCGACATCAAAGCTGAGACAGGATTCTAAACCTGAACACCTAGGGTATATTAGCTTATTTTTGATTTAGCTACGTTTTCTACCTAAGGAGCCTATTCAGTGTCGGGATCCTTAGTCGTAGTTTTTACCCCACAACAAGTCCCCTGGAATAAAGAAGCATTGTGTTTGCAGTACTAAACATTGCTGATCTTAACATTTCATGCTCCACAAAAAAACTTTGTGACTTCAACAAACATTTCTAGCAACCAGCTTTTTGAAACACGACCACATCGTGATGAAGTGACGTGTCGAATCAAATGGAACGAAATGGAGAGTGAAGACACACACAATATGGACCCACTTATAACCAGAAACCAAATCTATTATTTATTGTTTCAGATTTTCAAAGTATTTATTGCCACAATACATTTCTTTGTTACTTCCCTCTATTTTGTCTGATTATCGTAGTTCTAGAGTTGCAGTAAGAAGGCTTGCACAAGGGTAACTCATGGACACATTTAGTGCCTCACTTTATTCGTTACTATGGTTTCTTGGACACAAAATTAAGTAGCGTGCAAAACAAATGTGTACATGTAGTCAAAAACACATTTCTCAGATATGGAGATTCCTTTTTTCTTTTTTTAAATCCTATTTAACTAAATATCTTTGGGTTTTGGGCTGACTAAACCAGCCATTTTTAAACATTTTACTGACATTTTAACAACTAAAGGATTCATAATTCAGAATCAGAATACCTTTATTAGTCCCACGGAGGGGATATTTGCATAGTTACAGCAGGAACATGAGACAGCTTAATGTTACATATGTGACATGCATTCAAAAAAAGTACTAAGTTATGATATCAAACAATATATAATTAAAAAAAAAAAAGTTACATAATAAAAGAAAAGGAAATTGCCACTAGATCAATTGATAAGTAAAACTTTTAGAAGTAATATCACCTTGTGACCCTCTCTTCTAACACTTCAGAGTAGCAGCTGATGAAATCAATGCTAAGAAAAGATCGACATCTAAAATAACTTTACACTTAAGCTACCTCTACCAGTGACGACTACCCCCTGCCATCTAATCCACCACAAGAAAAGAAATACGTGTGGAGGAATAGTTTTCCCTTGTTTGTGTACGCTGTTCCTCGTGTGCACCTACCATCACCTTCACATTGAGGGCACCCTTTCCATGCTACTGTCCTTTTCGTCCTCCCTTATTAATCCCAGCCTGCTGTCTGCTGTAATTGCAGGTTCTCACACCACATGGTTCCTGGCCCCCAAGGTCCCCACGCCACAGGGATCCCCCACCCGGCCATCGTCAACCATCAGGTCAAACACGAGCCTCCGCATGAAACAGACATCATGCACATGTGAGTCCTGCAAACACAAAATACCCTCACACACTCTGATGACATACTTCCAGGTATTTGTGCACGCCACCACTACAGTAGGCGGTCGCTGAACAAACCTCTCTTGTCAGAGCCTTGTTCTCGTTCCCTTGATGTGAGCAGATAAGCGGCGAGGGCCCGTGCTCCACTGATAACAGGCCTATGCTTCATTTGGCCCCGGGGATCACAACACACTTAGCCAGCAACAGATACAGGTCCTAGATTAGTGCTCGGTGTTTGCAGTGGGAAGTGCTGCGAGCCCCCCTGAAGTGGTTATCAGTGATATTTCCATTATTCATGGCCAGCCAAGCTTCCAGAAAGTTAGAAAGAAAGTCAGGAGTGGGAGCAGGGTGTCTTTTCAGTGTGCGAGTTCAAGCATTTGGCTCTAAGCTATCGCCAATGTGCTGTGGACGAGAAGGTTTGGTTGCCATTACTGGTGAAGTAATCTCTCTGCATGAAGGACTGCACATGATTAAAGAGGCAGGGGCCCATGGCGTGGAAACCCCTCTCACGCTGCCTCATCATTGGCGCAGAGCAACCAGACCCTCGCTGCTTGTGTCGCCATAGCGGCACCACAATTTCCCTCTGTTGCTTTGTTCTTTCATTCTCTCATTTTCCATCTACTTAGTTTCCTGCTCTTCTTTACCCCCCATTCACATTGTGTTGTTGTTGTTCTTTACAGGAAGCCCCAGCACGAACAGAGAAAGGAGCAGGAGCCCAAAAGACCGCACATCAAGAAGCCGCTAAACGCCTTCATGCTTTACATGAAAGAAATGCGTGCGAACGTGGTGGCAGAGTGCACGCTGAAGGAGAGCGCGGCCATCAATCAGATCCTGGGTCGAAGGGTAGGTCAAACAGTCCGTAGTTTTTGTCACTCTAGTTTTTTAAAATTTTTTAGTTAAATCGAGATCACAGTTCAAGCCGCAGCTCTAAAGAGTCTCCATGCGCTGACTTCCCAAGCCCAATTAGTTCAAAAAAGTACAAAAATTCCTATCTCTACTAACATGCAGCCTCTTTATGAACTAGTTGTGATTATTGTCATAATGATTTCCCTAGCCAATTACTTCCCTCTCAGCGGCATAGATACAGACGGCCTATCTAACTGACATTTAATCAAATTGGCTTTTAATAAAATATGCCTGGATAATGGCACGGTTGGAAATGACAAAATGTGTTCCTTTTGAGGATTGGGAAAAGAGTGGAACCGCAGAGCCATGTTAAAAGCCTTAACGAATAGGCCTGGCGGTCGAGGCAGCCAGCCACAGCAAAGCCTCGTTTGTGGCCTGCATGGAGTAATTGCTCGCTGACATAGTTTGAATAAAAAGCACTGCTAAATTGGAACCAGTGTTTTGATATGAAATCAAAGTTATTTTTTTCCTTCTCTTCCCCCCTCCTACTCTTGCGCATGTTAATCTCTTCATCATGTGTCCCCCTTCTCCCTTCTCTCCCTTTTATCCTACACCAAACGATTGGAAGTTGAAAAGATTTTCTTTTTTCCAAAACACCAGCACAGTTCTCTATGCAGGGAAGTGCATGCCAGTAATTGACTGTGTGCTATTTTCCCTCCTGATCTCCTTTTTTACTGAAACAGTGGCATGCATTAACTCGGGAAGAGCAAGCTAAGTATTATGAGTTAGCGCGCAAGGAACGGCAGCTCCACATGCAGCTCTACCCAGGCTGGTCCGCTCGAGACAACTATGTAAGTATCAACAGAACAGATTGGCAAAGGTGCGAGTGAGTGCGTGTGTGTATGTTGATTTATGTTTGTTTATGTCCATGTTGCATGTATTGTTCACACAATGACGACACACACTAATTCACACCAGTCGGCTCCATGCTAATGGGGTCCCTTTCTTTGCTTCAGCCTAATGTGTAATTCATACCGCTGTGATTATATTACCATCTGCAGCATCAGAGACATTATTATTGCCACAGTGAGTGAAAACTGCCTGGTAATGGTTATGCTAGTCTTTGATGTTCCATATCAGCATGGAGCTTGTAAATGTAAAAAGCACCTGTCGGAGCGAGGCGGCTGCATCATGCGTTCAGCGCTCAGCAGCAGCAGCAGCCACCTTTGCTCCATTAGCTACCCATTATGTTTGTACACGTGGGAGGATCAGCTGGATTTAAGATGCAGTCTGTTTTTGGTGTGTGTTTGTTTTTGTGTTTGTTGTCATCCGTCTCAGTTTGTGGCGTGAATGTGTGAGAGAGAGAGAGCACCAGCCTTTTTTAAAAGTGTGGCTCCGGCACTCACATTCACTCCACCACCAAAGTGCTTTGTGGTGTTTATCTGCCTCCCCTCGGACACCGACAGCATCCCCCCCCTTTCTACTGCCTCCACTGCTCCACTGCCAAAACGCCTCGCTGAGGGAGGAGATAGTTTCACAGCTCTGCTCCCACTGAAGCACAGCGCAGTTAAAGATACGCAACATCAGCTAGTGACAGTCAGCCAAGTTCCCATTTCATTTCCAGCTTTGTTATTTAGGAAGATATGTGACGGGTAGAAGAGAAAAAAGAGTAGAGGAATGGCTTTCTAGTTGGCACACCAAAGAGATAAAGGGATATGTTTAACGCAAAAACATTTCTTACAAGTGCTATTCTGCGGCCCCGCCCACAAACAATCTTCAGCTGTACACAGGCAGCACATCATGCCTGGAAACACCCAAAATAGGTAACGCACTGGCATGGAGAGCGTGTAGCATTCACAGTTGTGCTGTGTACCCCCTCTCTCATCCTTTCTCTCACCGAGTATGTCTTCCTCCCTGTCTGCCGGTGCAGTAGAAGGCAGATTAGCTCATGAATAAGTGGATTAGCAGACTTTGCAGCAGGAAACCAAAGTGCTGCTCATATTTGACTAGAACGACTCTAACGCTGCTATCTATACCTATAGTCTCCCCCCTGGGGATTTAGCATAAGCTATAAATCCTTACACACTCCCACCTCGCTGGAAACAGAGTGGCGCTCTTCACAGCCATTCAGCTAGACTAGCCTAATTACAGTGAGCATTTTTAATTGCACTTCATGTTAATATTTGTCATTAGAGGGGACTTCAAAGGCAGGGGAAATGTGACGCAGACTGCTCACTACAGTAGTGGTTAGGGTGGTCACAGAAAAAGCCTTAAAATATGTAAACAAAGTTATTTAAATGCAGCTGGAAGTAGGTAGAGTACACTTAAAGTCAGTGATTGGTCGGTCCCTCTCAGCGTGGCGCTTTTCGGTGCAGCCCGGGGTCCAGGGGGATGCTGGTTGGATGCCCTGCAGGGGATGAGTGAACATGGCAGACAGCAGCAGGATATCAGAGTGGTCTAGTGAGCGTGAGTGCTGGAGCCACACTTTATGTGTTCCTCTGTATATTTTTTAGGGAAAGAAGAAGAAGCGGAAGAGGGAAAAGATGCAGGAGTCAGCCCCAGGTAAGCACCAGATCTTTCTCTCTCTTTTTTTCTCCCTGTGTGTTGCATTTTGAAGTTGTGAGTTACACCATGTTTCCATAGACACGTGATCTTTTACAGTATACTGCTGCATTTTTACGAATGCACACTCTGTAAAACTGTAAAAAGCAACTAATCTCCCAGTCGATGGGGCCTTTTCAAAAATACTGAATATATGTTACTTTCCATCCTGATTCTGGCTTCAGTAGACTGGCTTGATTCCTGTGAAGGCAGCACAGTCCTTTTTGTATACATCCCACCATCCATTCCTCTCTCATCCCCGTCTTCACAAATTACACCTACTTTGGGATTAGTCTGTCCATTCTATACGACTACTTACCGACCCTGGGCTTTGCGCTGTTTGTTTGCCTGCTGCTCTACAGTGTGTCTTTCTGCTGACCTTGTTTAGCTGCGCTTATGAGCCTGCTCTCAGCACCGCAATTGTAATCCATCGAGAATTACATCTTAAGTAAAAAAAAATGTCACTATTTTGTATTTTCTTACCTGGGGTCTATCCACTTTAGTAGGCAAAATGGACGGTAAAGATCTATGCTGTCCAGATATATCACATTTTTAAAAAAAGATGCGGTTTTCTGCAGGTACAGGCCAGAGAATGAAAACGGCGTACATCTGAGAATATGGTAAGACAAACCCTCTATCCCCTAAATGTCTGATCAGTTCAATACATGTCCCGCCTTTTTAAACTGCTAAACACTGACTTGAGAGTATGTACTCACAGACTAATCCTGAACAGGTCCACCCTAACCTCGCCATGGTCATTGTGTGATTGGTGTTAAGGAGAGGGATTGTGCTTTGTGTGTGGGGTTTGCTCAATGGCTCTGCACAATAGCCATTGGATTGTCTCTGTTTGTGTGCATGTGTGTGTGTGTGTACGTTTGAGTCAGTCAATCCAATGTGTTTCTGTTGGTTGGATTAAAGGTCAACGGTTGTGTCAGCAGTTTGTGGTTTATTTTTCTTCCCTCATGAAAAAAGATCAAATTAAAAGGGGTTTGAAAGATATTGCCTAATAAATCACACAGCTCATACACTCTGTTTTCCAAACATGGGCTAAGTAATACATCTGAAAACAGTTCTACTAGCTTAGAACATTTTTTTGTTTTTACCGCTGTTGGAGGCTAGGATGTCAACCCCATATGGACTACATGTGTTGTCTCCCTCTGCATCAATGTGGAGCAGAGCAGCTTATTTGGCAGGAACTTAATGAGATGCTATACCTTTTTAATAAGATGTCATGGTATTGGGGTTCTCGGGGTGTACATAATGCCTCCATAACAAAGGCACTTTTTACATGTGAATAAAATCGTGGGACATATTGATTCAGACGACATGTCAAACCCTCACTGAACTGCCACCTCTCCTTTTCTTTGTCGAAAGAAGGATTAGCGTTCTCCATATGTGGCAACTCTTATTTTCAGTCTTCCCTACTCTCTGTGGATCTTGTTGCTTTCCATCTCTCTCCTTCCCTTCCCCCCCCCCCGTGAGTCTGGTAGCATCCTGTTGTTCCGCTCCCCTTCGGCGGCGGTAAAAAGCCGGGCAGATGTGACAAATCTGGTCTTACGTTGAAATCACCCCAACCACACAAAGGTTTTCCACTTGATCGATTCCTGACCCGGTGGCTCGCTCTGAACCCAAAATTGGGCTTCTTTTCTTTTTTCATTTTTTTCCGCCACAGCCGGTTTTCAAAGCCCAGAAAGAGCGAGCGCTAAAAAGCACTTTATCTCTGATCCAATAATTAGCAGCGCCTAGCCGCAGCGGGATGGACACCCTTGCTGATTCTCAGTGACAGCCTTAAACTAATATGCATAATGCCAAGGATACTGCCACAACTCCCCAAGCCCTCAATTTATGCAGATCCCAAAGAGCTGGATTGAGGTTAGCTTGGTGTAGACGCCAGAAAAACATCTTTAAATGAACTCGTTTGTCTATTTCTTTTCATCTGCCTCAGCCTGTACCCCATCTGTCTCTCGTCAATGTGGAAAAACTCATTTGTTAATGAGTTGATTTTAAAGACGCACCTTTTTGTATGATGGTTCAAACAAACATTTGCTCCATTAGATTTTATTATAGCGCTTGTGCAGTCAATAAAGAATATGCGGCGTAACGAAGTCAAATGTTCCATTCTACTGTAGCTAGATTTTTTTTTTTTTTTATGAACGGAAACTTGACTTCATATTAACATATTTGATGGCTTCTGTTGAGTTGGTCTGCCTGTGAGGTAAACCAGGAGTTGAGTAGTGAGGAAGCAGTGTTCATAGCTTGCGTTGGTTCTCTTTGTTATCATCAGCCTGTCAAACACTGGGCCGCCACACAGCTGGCTCTCACCACAGTGGAACAGCACCGAGAAGTCTCTACTCTGACAATGTGAAGTTAGGGTTTCCGTTGCTTCCCCTCGTCGCCCCTTTTTTAATCACTGACTTGAAATGTGCTGTCTTACTCCTCCTTACCTCACTGTTCCTTCATTTGAATGTCTCTCTTTCTTGCTTCCTCTTGGGCATTTGTGTCTGACTAAGCCTGCTGATTCACAGCCTGTTCAGATACTTATCTGGCCGAGACACATACTTGCCCTCGAGGCTCTCTCCTATTTCAGCCGCTGCGCATTTCTTTCACAGGGGGGAGACAGTCCTACGAAAGGTGGCCTTTTGAATCTGGCTAGTGAGGGACTCCAGTGCAAACACTTGCTAACTGAGCAAGATGAAGGTCTCCTTTGTTGACAAGCTAAATGGATGATGTTTACGAGCCCATACTTGTGCAAGAGGTTGTTTTTCTTAATATCTTTTCTGAAAATGATGCTTTACACTGATTAGAAAGTCTGTTCAGAGTATCGAGGGTTATTTCCAACCACATGTCCTGGTCCTGAAACATGAAAGAAAGTGTTGTTGAAGCCGGAGCTTTGGTGGCCTCTCTCTCTCTCTCTCTCTCTCTCTCTCTCTGACTCTGTCTCTGTCTCTGTTTCTCTCTCTCTGTCTCTCGGTCTCTCTCTCTGTCTCTCTCTCTCTCTGTCTGTCTCGGTCTCTCTCTCTCTGTTTCTCTCTCTCTGTCTCTGTCTCTGTTTCTCTCTCTCTCTCTCTCTGTCCCTCTGTCTCTCTCTCTCTCTCTCTCTCTCTCTCTCTCTCTCTCTCTCTCTCTCTCTCTCTCTCTCTCTCTCTCTCTCTCTCTCTCTCTCTTCTCTCTCTCTCTCTCTCTCGTCGTCTCTCTCTCTCTCTCTCTCTCTCTCTCTCTCTCTCGTCTCTCTCTCTCTCTCTCTCTCTCTCTCTCTCTCTCTCTCTCTCTCTCTCTCTCTCTCTCCCCTCCTCTTTCTGTCTCCGTCGTGCCCCGGCTTCGCTCCCTCTGATGTGTGAAGTCAGCTGTCAGAAGACTTTGATGAGGAGGAGGGAAGAAGAGGAGGGCGTGAGTGTGTTAGGGGGAAAAAGGGAGGGTAAGAAAAGGGCCAGAAGAAAATCCCTCATTCTCTCGAGTTGTGATTTTACGCAATCTCTCTCAACTGCCACTCATCCTTCAGTCTCCATCCCCCATTTCTTTCCCCATCTCTTTATTTGTTGCCTCTCATCTTCTCTCTTTCAGACCCACATCTCTCTCTCTTTCTCTCTCTCTCACACACTCATCTGAGCAGCCAGCCACACACTCCGGCTGCAATTAGGCAAGATTCAGCGTCTGCCTCTATTTGCCCGAGTCGTTTCAATTTGGCACCGAGCCTCAAGGCCACTGCGGCACAGCCCAGTGCCTCCACACCCGCCTTATTAGTGACCTGCGATAATTGGGGAAGCAATCCAAAAACTGACTCTGGGTGTCGCTTTGAGCTGCGCACGAGAGACGAGAGGATGTTTTTAAAACTGTTACTTTTCACACAAAGAAATGGTTATTAGTGGAGGAGAGAGATTTGGGGTTTGAATCACAGCGACGCCCTGGCTAATGTTTCTGTGGGTAGGAAGTGGAATCGGAAATGTTCACCCGTCCGCCCGTCCGTCCGTCCTGACCTCCACAAAGGACACTCTGTGAAGAAAAAATGACCCTCTCAGCACTTAGAGTATGAACTTTCAGTATGTCAAACTAATTTAAGTGTGCGGTTTTAGCTTAAAAGTACAAATCCTTTACACTGACATGGTTGTCCTGGTCTAGTCTGGGATCCGTATGTGACCAAAGGTAGAGGAAGTACTCAGATGATTCAAAATTGTAAAAAGTCAGCTTTAAAATACTGCAAGTACCAAAAGTAGGTGTACGCAATATGGCCATTTTAAGCTCGAGCTATTGATAGTTGTTGATTAAATCTATTGAACTCATTCAATTGTTACTTAAGTACAGTACTTGAGTAAATGTACTTAGTTACATTACACCTCTGAATGTGACTTGTGAGAAACGCAGTTAGTGTTCCCATTGTTTAGACTGGGGCTAGACATTTGTTTTGATTGAGTCACGGGCCTATTGTGTTGTGGTTTTGGCCAGCTGCATAACAGTATGAGGGTCCAGTCTCTTAGCATTTTGTGATGTCTTCTCCACTTCCTCTCTTTCTCGCCCCCGTGGATCCTGGAGGCACTGCAGCTTTTTTTCGGCAGAGGTGGAGATCTGTGGCCTTAATAAAACACTCGTGAGATGCTTATCTGTAAATGAAAGGCCCCCAGGTGGCAAAGAGGCACATACCGGAAGTGAGCTGAATGAAGAAGTGTTTATTTGTATTTGACTCTTTTGTTAAAGAAGGAAAAAACCTCAACTCAGTCTTTCTTTCTCGTCTTCTGGCTCTTAACTTCCCTCTCTCGTCGCTCCTCCCCTTCCGGCCCCTCTCCTCTGTCGGGGAATATGAGTGGCGGCAGGGCCCTTTGAAGCCAGACCACAGCAGAGGGAGCCGTCATTGAGCCGACTCTTTGAATGTGCAGCTCCCCCCCCCTTTCCCCTTACTCCCAACATCCCTGCGCCTGCAGCCGGCCTCAGCACGGAAGCGGGGCAGCACGGCCCCTATCCCCCTGTGTGCGATGTGGGCAACGCCTCCCCCCACCTCCCCCGTCCTCCCACACCCTCCTGCACTCCCATAGTCTCACCCACACATGCCTGAGGTTTGGGGTTTGGGTAACTCCCCCTCCCCTTTTCCCCTTTTGACCACAAGTAGACCCCACCCTTTTAAATGTTCGAATTCAAAGGAGCTTTATTGGCATGACCATATCAAAAACAAAGTATTGCCAAAGCATGTTGTGTAAGGTGTTACAACAAAGTAAAAACAATTATAAAAAGTAGGAACACTAAACATGTTAAGGATACGTGTGGCACGACAGCAACACATTAAACATACATGCCAACAATAACATAACAAATGAAGGAAAGTGCTTCCCTTCTCTCCACACTTTCCTGTTCTTTCTCTTCTCTCTAACTTGACCTGTTAGTTTCTGATAGCCCCTGTGGAAGAGACTCAACCTCCCCCGAGCCCGCCTTTTGATTGGAGGTTAAACATTTCAAAGCTTCTTTTTTTTAAGAGGCGATTTCTTTTATGTGGAATGTCTCCCGGCCGTAGAAAGTGCTGACAGTGCAGAGCATTTTGTTTCAAACATGGCTTTGTCTTCCAGGTGTTTTATTTTATTTTATAGGTCTGCTCTGCTTGTGTCTTTAAGAGCTGCGCTGGCACAAGTGTGTACAGCGGTGGCTCCATTTAAAAGGTGTCACTAAAGCCAGCTGTATGATGCAGGCCGAGGTCACTGCCAAGACACGCCACCGCACCAGACTCATCTAAATGTGTGCACAATTACGCTTAATAAAGCTCACAACTATATTAGTCTGAGTCAGACTCCACTGACCTCAGAGGATGATGTAACAAAGAGTTGGCACCCAGTCATCTCAGGTTGAAATGAAAAGGCGGCAGCTGCTCCAGCATACATGAACACATTTGAAAGACATATAAGAACACATGATGTTAATCCGTGATGTTGTTGTTACTTCATTCATTCATTGATCAATGGTCAGAAATAGAATTGCCGAACGTTGGCATTTCTTCTTGTAAATAACTTGAAGTAATCAAAACATTCATTGGTTTCAGCTTTTATGCTTTTTTGGACTCCTTTGTTACTTCGACAAAGCGACAGCATTGCGTAACACTCGTGCTTCTGTTGGCTAGCGCTCCAACAGCATGATGGGTGAAGGAGCTGGATATCTCTAAGCGGTTGACCAATCACAACAGAGCCAGCCAGCTAACCAATCAGAGCAGACTGGGCTCTGGTTTCAGACAGAGGGTGAAAGGATGACAGTATGAGAAACATAGAGCTTTATGAACATTAAAGCATGTAAACATGTCACAGTAGAGGAACTAAATACAAATATGAACCTGAAAATGAGCATTATAGGGCAACTTTAAATAATGTGACTTAGTCCAATCATGTGACTGCACTTGTTTCTTGGCCCGTCAGATGTCACCCTGACCCCAGATTTGAACAACAACAATGTTATCATACCTGATTAAAAAAAGATCTAAAAACAATAACACCCGAGTTGACCTGACCTCTTTAAAGATGACACATCTCTCTTTAGTTGCATTGCTCTCTCTCTCTATTCAGCCTTTCCCTCTCGTTTCTCCTCCAAACCTCCCCTGGTCTCTCTGCCATGGTAAAGTCTGCTCCTCTGCCTGAGCTGGAGACACCTCTCTGCACTTGGCTTATTTTTTGGAGTAATTTGTCAGCGATGTTTTCATTTTTAATGGCACCAAAAGAAACCCCAGAGCTGCATGTAGGGAGGAGGGGTGAGGGTTGCTGGGTTTGGAGGTGAGGGGGCTGTAAGGCAGGCGGGCCCCAGCTGCGGCCGCTTTGATTTGGCCTTGGCGAGGTGAAAGCAGCGATTGAGACGCGAGGTTGGGCCAGTTATCTTAACCTCCCACACTTCAAAAGCTGGGCAAGAGCTTGTCCGACTCCTTCCCCTCCTTCCTGCCTCCCTCCGTCCCGTAGAGGGAAAGGAATTGGGGGGAGAGGAGAGAGAGAAGGGGGGAGACTAAACTTTCGCTAGCCCTCTGAACAGAGGAGCATTTCATTTCCTGCAAAAAAGTCCTGCCGGCATTCCTGAGCACTAATGTGGAGGAGGGGGTGGGAGGGAGGTGAGAGGAGAGGAGGGGTCAAGTTGCTCCTGAATCCCAGTGTTTGTGTCGGCTGGACCTTGTGAAGAGCTGGCCCCGTGCCCCCCGAAAACCAACCACCACGCAAGTACACACCCCTGCTGTTACCACCAGGCTTTTTTGAAACTCACACAAACACATGGACACACACACACACACACACACACACACACACACACACACACACACACACACGCACACTTCTCGCCCGCAGCCCCTCGGGCCTTTTCCCCGGGCAGGAAGGCCAGAGCTTTTCATGTCTGTGGTGGGGGAAGGAAAAATGCTCCCCAGGAAACAGGGTGCAGTGCCGGGCGTGCGGGCCCCGCTCTGAGATCCTGGGATGAAAAGAGCGAGGGCGGCGGAGGTAAATAAAAGCGACAGGGGCTCTCTCTCTTTCTCTCCGAGTGCCGCGCTCCTTTCAGTCCCCACTCAGGGTCAGCTCTGCTCGGGAAGGGTGGTCTCTGTCCTGTTCCCTTTTATCCACATGTGGTAAAGGTGTGTGTGTGTGTGTGTGTGTGTGTGTGTGTGTGTGTGTGTGTGTGTGTGTGTGTGTGTGTGTGTGTGTGTGTGTGTGTGTGTGTGTGTGTGTGTGTTCCAACAAAAACACACCCTTTGCTTTGCCACGAGGGAAAAACAAACTAATACCGCTTCTCTTTCCTTTTTTTCGTCTTCACCAAACATCCATCTTTTTTAGTCGCAGGAGGCATCCATGCACCTCTGCCTCTCCACTTTGATCACACATTCTATTTGATGCTGCTCGGGTCTAAAATAACTCCTCTCGGCTTGTCAATAACTCAAGCTAACTCTGTTATGTTAGATCACGAGAGGGAAAAGAACACTTTTACTGCTCGACAAACAATTTCCCCGTCAGGGAGAGAGGCCGAGATTTCTGTGAAGTAGATGGAGCAGTCAGGTGACATTTTTTACACCGCCGCGTTAATCTGCACCTGAACCGCAATCATACAGATAATTACCAACATGGGAACTCAGCCAGTTTGAACCAACTGGGTCAATGCAGTGATCCTCATGTAGGGGTGTAAAGTCACTATGTATGTCTACTTAGGTACCATTCTGAGGTACTTTTACTTTGCTTAGGTTTTTCAATGTTAGGTTACTTGTACTCCACTACATCTACGTAGTACCTTTGCCAATATATTCACATTCTACCCAGCAGTAAATAAAATGAGTTCCACCTTTACAAGCTAGATAAAAACATAATAACATCAATGATTATAATTCAGATTCTGAAATGGGCCAATCTGCATAGAGAGTACTTAGTACTATGAGTATATTTAGATGCCAATACTTTTGTACTTTAACTTGAGTAACATTTTGAATAGAGGACTTTAACTTGTTGCAGAATATTTTTAAACTTCTACTTTTACTTAAGTACTAGCTCTGAGTCCTTCTCCCACCTCTCTCCCCCTGTGTGGGGGGGGGGCATTTCCTCGCCTTGTTTTCCATCGCCCACCTGCGGCGCGGCTTAAATGTCAACCAGAAGCTACACAATTGGGTGCTCGCCTTGAGAGAGTGAGGGGAGGAATGAGTGAGTCAGGGGAGAGCGAAGCGCTGCCAGCTGGGTCACGGCAACCCCCATGTCGGAGTAGATCAAAGAGAGCCCGGCCCACATCCTGTCACCGACCTCTGACCCCTCTGTAGTTCAGAGCTTTGGCTCAACACTGCGGCAAAAGCCTTCTTTCAATCAGCTGTAACGCTGCGAAGAGACAAGTAATGATTGATGGTGTTGATTGTAATGGCAGGTAATTTGTCCCTCTCTGCATGGTGAGACACTCTGAGTCACCCTCATACGTCTGCTTTGGGTTAATGTGACGTGAGTGTGACCAGGGCTTCGAATTCTTTCCTTTTTGTTTGGTGTACACAACAGTTACTTCATCGTTTGGTTTATTGATCCTTTTGTTTTTCTTTTCTCTCCAGGAGGGAAACGGAACAATTTCTCCACATGCAAAGCGAAGGCAGCAGCTACGGGCCCTCTGCTAGAGATGGAGGCCTGTTAGATTTCCATGAAGACCCTAAATATCCAAACTGAAGCCTCCAGTTCTCAGAGGACCCCACCCTTCCCCCTAAACCCCATCCTTACCCCAACCCCACCTCACCTTTATTCTTCAACACGGTCACATGTCACCACCAGAAACCCTCCACTCCCGTCCTGAAGGCGCCTGCTGTAGAGACACTGAACTGAACAAGACAATCATGATTAGTAGGAGCACCAATCACGTTCTCTCACCGTACAAAAAAAACACCTTTCACTATCCCAAGGCACTGCACTGAAAAACAGCAGCATTTCTTTTTTGATGTACGCACAAACTTCCTCACGGCACCGCCCTCACACCTGTTTCTGAGTTACTGTAAGTTATTTGTCACCTCGGTTCCTTTGTATAGTTCATTAGGCCGACATTCACTCCCTCAACGCCTCCCCCCCCTTTCTCTCCCTCCCTCTCTGGATTTTTGAGACCATTTGGGGTTTCGCCCGACCGACCAAACACCTCTTTTTAGACTGCACTAAGGAAGCCGGAGGAATCTCATCTTGTCTACGAAACGTCCTCAAGACGCCATTTTTAGTTTGTCGCTGACCAGCTGGTGCAAAAAAGCATCATTGTTCTGATTTGCTTTTTCGACTGAATTTTATTTTGAATGCTTTTTTGTATTTTGAATCTTTGTTTCAATTTCTCGGTGTATATTTTAGTGATTTTTTTTTTTTAATATTGTTTTTTTTTTTTTTTTATATAGTGGTATATATGAAAATAAGCTTTGGACACAGGAAAGCCACTTTTCTTGTTGAAGCATCTTGCAGAAAATTGAAACTTAAGGCTTCTTTTGATAACTATTTGTAACAAATAGTGACCTCGAGTCTTGCTCAGATGTAAAATAATGCTCAGTATGTGTACTTTTTAAAACTGTCAGGATATGTCAATTTTCTTGGTATTTTTGCAGGCAACATTAGGACAAAGGCGAGAGTTATGGCTCAGAGGCCTATATTTTATTGTTCTAAAACATGACAAATGAAGCAGATATATATATTTACCCCAGCACTTGGCAGTCTTTCTTTTATTGCAATGGACCTTTGTCTTTTCTCTCTGGTAGCTAGTGTGGTCTTTAGCCATGTCGTTTATTCCATGCAAGCATCTCTGTAACATTTTGATTTTAATGCTCTATTTTAGTATTACTTGATGAATTCCTTTTTTTATTATCTAATTTTGGGTCACTGTTATCTTGGTGTAGCATTTTGCTTCCCAAGTGGTCATATTTGAACTGTTTCAACATGTTTTTTTTGTAAGAAAAATAAAAAGGCACCGTTGGCTCATTGAATCACTCGTGTGGTGGAAAGACCTGAGCTGGAAGTGCCAGATGTAGCAGTCTGTGTGTCATCCTTGGAGATTATGATGCAAATATGCACAGGCTTTAGTGCTGCGTATGTATGGATGGTGTAAATCATGTAAAACACATTTGATCTAATGTTCTAGTCTTTGTGGAAAGACAAGTAATTTGAAGCACTGAACACATTTACACAGTAATATTGTGATTTAAAAGAGAAGCCTACATTATGCAGCATACAAACCTTTTATTAATTGGGTCTATATAAAGGGTGAGATCCATTTCCTTCTCCGGTCTTTGTTAAAATTGGCTTTACACTTTAAATTCTGTAAAAACTCGTAAGGTAACAATTACATTCAAGTAAACAACATTTTTGATTAAAGAGCCAAGATCAAAGGAAGTCTATTTATAGACTCATGTGAATTGGGCCTCTTGCATGTCTTCATTTCAGGTAAAACAGCACCACCTTGTGTTCCTGTTGGATTAACAGGAAACATTAAAGAGGGTTAACATTCCCAAAAGCATCTAAAAAAGTGTTTGTCATTTTATTTACAAGACCTAAATCCCCCATGTGTCCGATAACAATAAATCTCATCAAACAGCCCTTTCAAATGGACAGAAGTAACCATACTAGATCTACAATAGTTTGTAAGTGCTAAGGTTTTTATATAAAGAGTACATACAGGGGGTGATGGAGTAGTCCTCCACTCAATAATGCTTTTGTTTATGAAGTCACTGATAGCTTAAAGACTAATTTTAACACATTTAAATGTAAGTAAAGAAAAAATCTGCACTACTTATTTTGTGAAAAGCTGTCAAACCTGTTATGAACACAATGAGACTTCAGATGTAGAAAACTCCCTCAATCGGTTTCCCCCCCTTGACAGAATGCTGCTTTCGAAGGACGGCAACAAAAACTGGGAAGACTGCTAGCTAACAGATGTAACATTGTGGGTGTACAAAATAATATGCTCTGCAAATGTTTAATGAGAAAGTTATTCATTAAACATTTCAATGCAACCTGGTTAGTAACACTGAATGCCTCAAAGAACTTCAATACAAGTTGTATCTTGTCTTAACAGTGATAATATTTTTATCCCAATAATAATTTGGCTAAGGCTAGAAGATATGAGAAGCAATCACAAAGAGACAAAGTATTTGAAAAATCTATTTTAATCTGATTTAATCTCCACACACAAAAGGATATCATTCAGAAGAAGATGGACTGACAGACAAAAGTCGACGTTTATCATAGAAGGCACACTTTGTTTCTGATTCGTCCTTGTTAGATGGCTTTATTATTAAAGTTCTAGTGAGGACATCACTTGTACTTGTAGAATCCTTCTCCTGTCTTTTTGCCGAACTTGCCCTCTGCAACCAGCTTGTTGAGCACTTCACTCTGAGCGAACATCGGGTTGTCAGGATTCGCTGCAGACCAACCTAAAGATCAAAAAGGGTTTCTTAAATGAAAGTCATCGAATAAATGTAGATGAAAGTAGCAATAGGCAAGACGAGAAAAGACTCAAATGTAAAGGTGTGTACAGTACAGGTTGGATGTACTCTTTAGTTACATCTCATAACGATACATAGTCTTCCTCACCATCCATGATGAACTTCATGGTGTCCAGTCCTACGTAGTCTGAGAGCTCAAAGGGTCCCATGGGATAACCACATCCAAGTTTCATGGCAATATCAATGTCCTCTTTGGATCCATCACCTGAGGGAGAAGACAGAAGTACAAGAACCATGAGAATGTGCAGAAATCCATCAACAACGATTATATAATATATAACTATATTAAAAGGATACTGAATAAGAACTTCATTACTTGATGCCGTTTCTACCCCAGCGCTGAGAGTAGAGCAAGGACATTTTTAGTTATAACTCCCATTTAGGGTTATAAAATGTTGAAATAGACTCAAATGAGCATTTAGGTGGGTTTTATTTATCTTTGCATTTTTAAGGTAAAGTTAGCTAGGAATGTTATTGGCTTGATGCGGAAGAAAAGAGAAATGCCAGAAAGGTGTATTGTTATAGTTTCTGTTTAATAAAGAAATATACTACACATTTTGATATTTAGTGAGGGTAATTTACGAAACCAGTACTGCAGACTCATAACTAGCCTAGCATCTTGTAGGTGTGTGTATAGTACAGTGCTACACCAAAAATATATTCTCCTTTTAATTACATAAAGAAGGACTGAGGTTCCTTTGTACTCTTGTGTTTCCACTTCCCAAAGGAACATAGTTATGGACACTTGCTCATAGCTAAACCTCCCTATAAACAAACCAAGTGTGTAGGTGCAGTACTCAGTACGTACCTCTCTCATACATCCGGACGGCATCCAGGATGTAAGGAAGCAGCAGGCGGTTCACGATGAATCCCGGTGTGTCCTGAACAGAGACATGTTGGAAGCGACTGAGTGGGGATGTTTCATTTATTTATATAAGACTCCAGCTATAATGACATCAGACAGAAACTCTCACCTTGCAGGACACGGATGTCTTCCCAAGCATTTTGCTGAAGTTCAGGAGGGAATCGAACGTCTCTTGGCTTGTACTTGAGGTTGCAATGACCTGTGAAAGATGAATACTTTATGAACTTTGATTTTAATAAAGTGTTGGTAGCATAATAGATTCAAATAAAGTGTACCGTAATTTTCGGACTATAAGGCGCACCTGAATATAAGCCGCAGCAGCTAAATTGAATGATGTGTACATATATAAGCCGCACTGGACTATAAGCCGCAGGTGTTTTAATGTTTAATTACCATATGTAAGGGTTCGTGCACAGAGGGGATTGTCGGGAAAGAGATGGCTGTTTGAGGAAGCTCCCATTTATTAACATTTCAACAAACAAGTTGCATATTTGCATAACGTATTCAAGTGTTAGCATTTAGTGCAATAGTAGCTACAGAACATGTACTGTGTAAACTGTACTGTATCACATAGCGTTTCAGAAACACAAACTTTTCAACTTTCAAACTTAAACGGTGCGCTCCCAGCGCACGTACCGGCAGTGATCTACAGCAGCGGTTTTCAACCAGTGGTACGGGGACAAACTGTCTCGCTCTCGTAATGTCTGTCTGTCTTGCTCTCGTTCTGTCTCTCGTACCACTCTCGGTTCCACTTTTACTTTTGCGCGCTACCTGTCTCACTCTTTTCCGGCCTCCAGCTTTTCCTGCTGGAGCCCGCCGCTTAAAGGGGGGGGGGCGCGGACCGGCCATAGAGCCCATAGAGTTAAAGGTGGTGGACTGTAACCTGTAAAATCCATAGATTTAGGAGGTCCCCTAGTGGCCGTTAGCTGTAAAAATCCATAGATTAGCCGCACCGTTATATAAGCCGCAGCGTTGAAAAATGGGGAAAAGGCGCGGCTTATAGTCCAAAAATTACGGTAATTAGCATTATACAGGTGTTTCCAACCTCAGCTTGGACGTAAAATAACTAAGAATGACACCTTATTGCATTATTTTGGGCATGATTAAATTCTCTGTATTTTCTTCCATCATAAAGCTGAAAAATAAACCCTTGAAACTGTTGTATTTTCTATAAATGTGCTCTGTTCACAGATGTATCCATAATAATGGTCTCAAAGTATAGAGGTAGGTGCTGAGGAAACCCTTAAATAAGTAATATAAAAAAGGACAAAAATTGGCCCCCAAAAACAAAAAACTGATATATTTGTCACCCAATCCAACCCTGCATAGATGATCTTTCCATAACAGTTTATTCCTCCTGTCCCAGGTCTTTGCCATACACATGCACTCTAATACGATCCCTTTTAGAAACCCTATTCTCTAAAACACACATGTTTGTGTTGAGTGGCCGTACCTCTACGAGCCTCATCACAGGGACGGGGTTGAAGAAGTGAAGTCCTCCGAATCTGTCCAGCCTGCTGGTGGAGCTGGCGATGTCAGTGATGGAGAGAGAGGAGGTGTTGCTGGCAAAGATGGTGTGTCTAAAAGAAACGTGTGCAAAAAAGCAGAAAGTTCATAAAACACAATATGGACAGCAGATCATAATAAAAGCAAACATGTGCAGTTCATAACTAAATCATCTTGTACAAAGGCCACCAAATGTAATATGTGTGCCAACTTCCCTCGGACCAAAACGTGGTGTTGGATTTTTAAATGAATAAAGGTTCATTCATTTTGAATACTGACAGCAGCAGTAGAAAACATGCGTTTGATAAGCAACATGTATAACTAATGAGTGACACAGAAAGGGGATGGTGCTTACGCTGGTGCCACCTTGTCAAGCCCACCAAACAGATCCTGTTTCACTTTCAGATTTTCCACAATGGCCTCCACCACAAGATCTGTGCCCTGAACAACTGATCCAGCATCTGTGGAGATGGACACGTTCTGCATGGCTTTCTGCAGGAACTCCTCCCCTGCCTGGAACAAAACCAAAATGCAATATCTCGTATTAATGACACACATTTCATTTGTTTGTTTGTATTTGGTGTGGTGGCTTGACATGTCTCACCTCTGGCTTGTCAGCAAACTTCTTCTTCACCACTCTTTTAAGATTCCCTTCAATCCCTTTCACTGCCTTTTTGAGGATGTCCTCATTTGTGTCCACCAGCGTCACCGCGTGGCCAGTAGAGGCAGCGACCTTTCAGGAAGAAATTAATTTAAGATGGGTTAATAAAAGGTTATTCCTGAGTAAACTTTTACTTGATACTTGTGTAATTAATTGGTACATTTTGATTTGCTTGTATAACCAAAGTACTTTGTTTTGGTTTTATTTGTTGATGGAGTGTCTTAGTGTTCTCCGCAGTTATGTCTTGTTTTCATTGGCTGCATAGGTTCATTAAAGGAGACACATGCTTTTGTTTGTGGACTCAGGTGTGTTATACTTCACTTAAAAAAGAACAGTGAACCAGTCTTATGTATGTTACAAGGTGTTATAAAATCAGATTGTTCTGTTTCTCTGCCAAAACATATAAAAAGAAGGATGAAGTGTGTTCACTAGAAAAGTCACACAATTAAAAGATATGAAAAAATATGTTGTATCTATGTTTCACCCCTTTAACGCAGCGCACAGTAGAGAAGAAACAGATTGCAGGAATATTAGTGAAATAGCTGGAGGAGAATCTTGGAAAACTAAGTATAAGTACAAAAGGATGTTTTAAGCATCGTAGTCCCATTTTTTTTAAACCTTTGATTACTTCTACTGGGAAATTGAAGTTCATGTGACTGACTATCACACAAAGAACATCAATAATAGTCTGTAGATGCAGGATAATATGAAGGAAAGATTATGTGTGTAAGGTCAAGGTGAGGGAAGAGTGCTGAGAGATTTATCTGAGCAGAAATTATGGGTAGAATCCAATATGTTACCTTTACTGTTATTTTATTTGTTCAATTAATCTGTGTGCGATTAAGATGATGGCACTTTTAATCTTGAAAACCAATACCATTCGGCTTGAGTATAAGAACTACAAAAACACTGTAAATTGTTAGACTTTATACAGTTTGGAAGTAGTATACCCTTGTGGGGCACAGGTCAAATTCTCCAACAGCTGATTACCGGAGAACACACGGCGAGCGACACCTTGTGGCTAAAAGTGAACCCTGCAACGTATCCAGTCTTGTCTTGTTACACCACAAGGAAACACAAATGAATGACAACTGAGCTATTTCACAACACATCTTCCTTATGGGATCAATGGGTGATTGTTCTGCGAGACAAGAGCCACACATACTGAATAACTCAATGTCAAACTTTAATGACAACTACCGGCATTTATTTTGAAAGGTTATTTGATACGGAACAACTTGCATGCGACACAAAGTAGCTTTAATGGAATAGTTTTCTTTCAGTTTTACAAGAAAATACACTTTAAGGATGAAACTAAGGTTGTTTCAGCAAATGCACGTCTGGTAACATTTCCAACTCCCCGAAGAGCAGCTGCCTCACTAGCTATTATGAAGCTAACAGCTAGCTACACGTCTTAACACACGTATACACACACACACACACCAAAGGCATGTTGTCGCTTACCTGTGCAATCCCCGCACCCATCTGCCCCCCTCCGATAATCGTCACATTTTTTATGACAACATGTCTCACAGCAGAGGAGGACAGACCCCTGCAGATGTGGTGTGTGAAGAAAGCCATGTTGTGTCAAACTGCTGCAGGACTGCCAGAGTGGAAAGCAGGAGGAAGGTCGGCGGTCACGTGATCGCGCCTCCACGACCTTTCACACAGACTCTCCAGTCCTCAGGTGTCATTAAGGATTTACCAAAAGAACAATATTCAGCATACAAAGGTTACTTTAAAACTCCTTTGAATTAGCAATACAGAATGTAAACATATTTAATATACGAAAAGGCCCCCCTGCTCAAACATTAAAACATAGGATTCCCATGTCAAATTATTTTTAATTCATATAATATAATATTTATTATTTACACCCGGGTGCAAGTAGTTAAAAATGCTATTTACACCCGGGTGTCCATAGCTAACGATGCTATTTACACCCGGGCTACACATTATATACTGTTTTGGATGTAGGCTATAGTATTTATGGAAATGTTTCTTTGATAACTTCAAATTGTAATGGAAGATGCTGCACCCGGGGGCTGGTAGCTAACAATGCTATTTACACTCGGGTGTCCATAGCTAACAATGCTATTTACATCCGGGCTACACTTTATGCTGTTTTGGATGTTTAGGTATTTATGGAAATGTTTCTTTGATAGCTTCATTCCCCAAGTGCTGCTGGGTCAAATTGTAATTCCCCTATAGTGGATTAATCTGCCACTACAGTCGGAAAGAAGTTGTGAGACATGATGAATTTTAGTATGTTTATTTACAAAATACCGCAACAGTAAATGATCACTAAAAAATCAATTATGTATTTGTGCCCTAACCAATCTATTTAATATGTAGCCCTGAGGCTCATGTGGTCCTGCTGGACGCTGGCAGGATCTGGTCTTTCAGCAGGGCTCAGCATTCTCAAAGACACAATTACACATTTATTTACAATATACAGTAGAAATTCATTTTACAAATGATTTCATGCCCCACCCTAGTGTGGCTTTAAGTTGAACTCAAAAACAAACAAGTAGACTCATTACAAATGCACTTTTTAAAAATGTGTGCTTTTAAAAACAGTACCAACCGGGACTTTTTGTAGGGTCCATCCATCCAGACACTCCCCTGTTGAAGCGCCTCTCTCCTTCATGATGTTTATAATTAATAAATAAAATAATATTAATTCATTAATAAAAAGACATTAGTGAAAACATGTCATTGGCTTTAATGATTATACACTATCAATAGGAGTACATATACCTCCAGTGCAAGAAGAACTGCCACTCTTTTGCAGGACGTGGCAGGAAGTACATGATGTAGACCTGTCGCGATTCTTTTGAGACTTTTGCAGCAACAAGGAACCAGTGTCCATGTCTGCACACTGAAATGAGAATCCAATGATACTCCCCAAATTACAACTATTCACTCAAACAAAAATGTGTGTTAATAAGAGCACAACAAGAACATTCAGGTCTGCATTTTTTTATAACCGCACATTTTTTTGTAATCCCAGACGGTGTACTTAGACTTGTTCCAAACATACACAATGGCACACTGAATAACATACACTTGCTTGATTCGTGTGCCAGGACTCCAAGATGCATGATACAAAATGATTGAAAGCAAGCCTTACTTTGTAAAAGTACATAAGAATGAGCAAGCAATGCATGCCAAAGTTATTTTACTATCACTTTTAATATATATAATAAAACCACTTCAAATGTATGCAGTGTTTTACCTTATTTACCGCATTTCGTTTAACTAATCTCTTTAATCAATTTTGACTCTTTTAACTGAAATCTTTCCTTCCCTAATGCCCTACTTAAGAACATTTGAATATGTGCCAATATATGCAGTGGTGTGCATCATAAAACAATAACATATATTGAGAATATGTCTTTTAAAACCAAATGCCTCTACCATAATAATATCCATCCACCTTTTTAGCAGCTATTCTGAACACAGCAATGTAAATGCAACACATACTGTAAGGCATGATGGTCATTTTTGATGGCTATTGAAATGTTATGGACCTAAATAATGCTTGAACAATCCAAAAAATAACAGATTGGATGAAGACATATTTGCATTCCAATCAAAACACACTTTTTACTTTGCAAAAATGATATGGTCTCCCCAAGAGACCTTTAGCCACATAGGTAAATGTAATTGGATTGGATTGTTATAACCAAATATTCCACTGTTTCATCTACGGGGGCTCACACACACAGTGTATGGGCAGGGGGCCAGCGTCAGGCCGAAGCGTCCGTGCAGGGAAGGGGGGGGCGTCCCCTCTGGGAGTCTGAATCTGAACGCCTGCAGTAAGATGGCGACCGTCAGGAAGAGCTCCATCTTCGCCAGCTGTTCCCCCATACACACCCTGCGACCTGAAGGGTACAGGACGGAGAAATCATTAGGGCCTGGTGCACGGATAATTCAAATAAATTCACAGAAACATGTTTCAGTTATTTGGCAGATATGAGTTAGCAGTGACATACCAATCCCGAAAGGTATAAAGCATTCCTTCCTGAGCAGCTTTCCCTCGTCGTCCAGGAAGCGCCCCGGGTTGAAACTGTCTGGGTCGTCCCATAGAGCGGGGTCTCTGTGGACAGACCACAGGTTGGGCACAATAACGGTTCCTTTGGGAATAGTGTAGCCTCGGAACTCTGAAAAACAAATGAAAACACTCAATTCAGATGCTGTTCAGATGATTTTAAAACAAACCAAAATTCAGCTCTCTTTATTTATAATATCCATGAAATAAAAGTATTATATTGAGACTGAGAAACCTGACAAGTTGAGCAATAGCAGAGGATTTACTGATATATAAGGGTTCAGAGGTGTTGTTGGAGCCATAATGTATTTTGTTTGTTTTAGTTTATCCGCACAAGTTGAATGTATAATGCAGTTCCAACATTGAGCACAGGATGGAGCATTCACTTGTGAGTGTGTATGTATTATGTAATCACCGGGTGGTCAGATTCAGGTGTGTGGGACGGAAGCTAACAGTCTTTGACCGTGTCTGGAGAAGCCGTGTCGAGATGAGCTGTGTTAAACCTGTTTGTATTCAGCGTGACTGGCATGCATATTGAACACAAATAAATGGATCGATAGATTGAAAGATATACGACTCGTATGGACATTGTATTATCGTCTGGAACACGCGTCCGAACAAAGTTCTCCCGTTCCCATCCCTCAGTGGCTTAAGTGTAGATTAGGTGAAAAAGTCACGACAGGTGATATCTGAGTTTACCTGTTGTCTCGGAGGCCATGTGAGGGATAGCCAGGGGAACAGCTACAGTCATTCTCTGCACCTCCATGATGGTGGCTTCAGTAAAAGGCAAACTTCCCTTATCAGTCAGAGACAGGACCCGTTGTGTGCCCACCACTTCATCTATCTCTGCCTGCATCCTGTCTGGAATGAAAAGGATAGAAGCAACTCAGAAGTAAGCGTACCACTCTTGGATGATTAATTTACCCCTCAGTTAAATCAACAAGATAAAGTAAATAAACTTTGTAGTCAAATGGATGTTTTGAAGTGCTGATAAATGTGATTGTGAAAGTGTTTAAATGCATAATCAAGCAAATTATTTGTCCTAAAAAGGGAAGTATTTGAGACGCGGGTTCCCACAGCAGGTTTCACATTCCTTTTTCTTCCCAAAGAGGATTTATGTAGAAAACAACAATCTGTGTCTTTATACACCTAAACACTTTGCACATTCAGTTTTACAACAAAGACCTCATTATCCCAACTATAAACGTTCAATCTCTACAATATTGTATAATTAAAGTTTATATTATTTAAATCTTTATTCCTAAATCATAAAACAATTGTCAGTGTGTTGATTTGTGTGTGCCTATCATTCGTTGTTTTCTACGCTGATCTATTTTTTTTATTCATCCAAATACCATTGAAAATATACTAGAGGAATTCTGAGCAAATGTTATTTTCTTGTGGACAACTAGAAAGAGATAATACTCTTTTATAACTTTCAAACTGATACAGATTGGAGATATCTTTGATATAGCAGGTGATGCTTGCCAAGCTGTAATCCCATGTCCCTGTAGAGGAAAAGCAAACGACACAAAGAGCAATCAAACTGTTGGAAAAGGACTGCAGCTACTTTTACCTTGGACATCAGGATATAAGACCATGTAGAGCAGAATCCACAGAACAGAGTTGGTGGTGGTGTCAGTGCCAGCGATGAAGAGATCTCCTATAATATAAAAGAGATAGTCTGCTGTGAAGCTGCTGTCCTGCTCTCCTCTCTGCTGCTGGTCCAACATCTCCTTCAGGTACATATCCACCAGATCCCTGGGGTGAGCAGGATCTAATGTTATCTGGTGATGTACAATAATCTTCTTCAAAAACACTGTGATCTCTCCTTCCACCTGCCGCAGCTCCTTGAAGACCCCAAAAGGTAAGTAGTAGAGCAGAGAGAAGGCGTTGATGAGGACCGCGGCGCTGTTGACGCAGATCTCCAGCCCTCGGTCCATCAGGTCCAGCAGTTTGCTGAACTCTCGGTCTTCGTGGTGGAAGCGATGTCCCAGGACCAGAGAGCAGATGACGTTGGACACGGCGTTCCTGATCAGCGGGGCCAGGTCCACTCCGGCATCAGCCCCACCCTCCTGACTCAGGACCAGCAGCTGTGATTTGATGGTGTCCAGGCCCTGCAGGATGCACGGCTCCAGGCTCAGCTTCCCCAGGCCGAACGTTCGGAGAGTGGCGTGGCAGAACTTGCGCTGCTTCCTCCACACTGGCCCGTAAGGTGCAAAGACTATACCTAAAGTTCAGTTAAACCAGAGAAGCATTTTAGTTAGTTTGTATTCTTCTCTTTTGAAGACTAAAGTCTAACATACATACAGATACACTTGTTGGTAGGCTACTTTTACTTTTTGTAAACCAGTCTAAAACAAGAATCAATTATATATACATTCTCGATACATATATATATGTATTTAATTCTTATATTATATCTGCACTATTTCATGTTTTATGTAAAGGTATTTTTGGAGGGAGCCTTAGAACAAGAATGTATTTACCAACAACTAGCTTCAGTGTAATTGTTGTGCCTAAAACAAATAAAGACTTAAAACCAGTCATGTTAATCTCCAAATCCCACAGTTGCAATAAAGGCCTGATAAATATGTTAACATCCTCTTAGCAATATCTATGCTAGATAAAAAAACAACCTTGAAAATGTGGAATACCAAATGTGTTTATGTTTTGCTATTGCTCAACGTGTCACTGTGTTGTCCAGCTGTAGGAGTTAGTTGAGTTCTCTATAATATATGAAAGCTGTCATACGTAGGCTGCTTTGTATTTACTGTGTATGGAGGAGGGAAGGAGCATACAGATCTGCAAAGAACCACTGCAGCATTATCAGTTTCTCTGTTTTTACTGTTTATAGGTATGTGCTTGAGTAAAATTACTGACAACATTTCTCTGTATTGGAATTCAACATACACTGGAATAGAATGACTGCCATATATGTAGAGATTGAGATTCAAGAAACATTTGGACTGGTCCTTTAATTTTTGTCCAGAGCTGAAGATACACAGTGAGACAAACTGGCAAGTAAAATGGACAGGTTAAAATTGTTTCACATCTTAGCAGCCAATAACTCTTTCAATGGACAGAGGCATGTGACTAAAGGATTCAAATACATCTGAGACATGTTATCCTCAAGGTTCAAGGTTTTTTATTTCCTCATACGAACATAGCTACAGTGTAGTTATGACGAAGAAAATCTTAGGTCACAGGCTCCTCCAACAGTGCAACACAATAAAATAGATAAACAGAAATATAGTGCAAGTAAATAGTAAATATAAACATAGTTTAAAAAAGTGAAATAGTGCAATAAGAGTTTATATGCAAGTTATTGCATATATCCTATCCTTTACATCTGGCATTAGATAGATATATAGATAGATGGATAGATGTCCCAGCCCGTGTGACATATCTAACTAATATTGGAAATACATCTAAATATGAGGCAATGGGCTACAAATCAACAGCAGCACAAACTACAGCCTCCAAAATGCAAACAAGTTGAAGCACAAACAATAACAGGACGTAGTAGTATGCATATGTTTCAGCTAGGTTGATTAAATAAAGAATACAATGGATGTGGCTGTCATTTAAAATGCGTTATGTGTAGTGAAGCTGAAAAATGGTCCTATAATAAAAAACTGTTACCTTTGCGTTTGGTCATGATAGAGATAGAAGGGATGTCTGGTCTGTCGGAGAACACCTCAGGATGGTTGGACAGAGCATCCTTCACCACTTCATATCCATTCAGCACCACCATGAGCTGACTCCCTACAAAGATGCTGTATATGTTCCCATAGATATTGGCATTTTCCGTTAACACGTCCATAGCGCTTCTGTTGGTGTTGTCCCGCTGCTGTCCAAACCTCCTCTGGATGAAAGAGGGTATGAGAAAGTGGCCAACGTTTCCCACAACCGGCCAGGGCTTCGGACCTGGCGGGATTTTTGCCAGGAGGTTCCGTTGTTTCTGATACACATGCACACAATAAAAAACTAGCAGCATAAGTAGCAGAGCTGCAGTGTTGACATGCGACAGAACACAGCTCAGGTGCTGCAGCCATGACAGCGAAATCATGTTGTTAAAGTTGTTTAAACTGAAATAGGAGAAGTGGTAATCCTATCCCATGTTCAGGAGTGTTCATGAAGTCCGAGTGAAATCATGAATTGGATGCCAACGAAGCAGAACTTGTATTTAAATGCTCTTTCCAAGCGCTTCCTGTGTTTTTGTGAAACTGCTGGTGTCAACGTCTTACTGTCATTGGCTTCCTATTGGCTGACAGCGCTGTGCCCGGCTGTGATTGGCGCACATCGATACTGACGACGACACATTAAAGGCAGGCATACAAGGCATAGAAATATAAGTAGCCATGGGCTTCACTTTGTTATAAACAAGTGGTGGGGACAATTTCTCCAGATTTAACATCACTATAGAAGAAGACAAAGTTGAACCTCAAGCACCTGCATGAAAAAACAATGTATAAACCTCTGGACCACCCAATGTGTTTTTAAAACAATTAACGCCCAACTATACGTTTTGCTGTGATGTGATTTGGACACAGGTATGGAGGACAGATGACTGATGATTTAAATCAACAAAAAAAACACCAAAGCCTTGGTATGGTGGAACTTTAATACAATAGTACAATGTCCAGACTACAGCTAGCATATACACACTAAAGAAGACTAAAATGAATATAAAATTGAAAACAATAATAATAATAATAATAATAATAATATTAATAATAATAATAATAATAATGATAGTAATAATAATAATAAAATACTTATGAAAAAAAAACAGATACACAAATATTGGAAATGGAAGTTTGGGTACACCTATGACATTAAACACACTAAGGCACCTTGTGACTTGAGGACACTGATATCATATTGAGGTAAACCCCAACAACACATACAGTATGAAAGAGCTACGGTAGCATTTCTGAAATCAAGTCTTGCAAATACTCCAACAAACCTGTGAGTCTGTCGCAACAAACTGTCTGTTCATGTCCGAAGTTCACTTTGAGCTGAGCTACAAAAACACTGACGACTCTGCAGTACTTTGTCTCATGAATAATTTACAAAGAACACACCGAGACGATATGATTATCCTTCATTTTTGCAGAAATATTTCTTTCAGAGCTATGCATTTGGTATCATTATGTTCCTGTCCAGTAGACAGGGGCTTCAGGGCTGTGTCACTCCTCCCGTGGGCTCTGTACCATGGAGTAACTCTTGCAGGGGTTCTTAAGGCAGGCAGGAGGCCAGGTGAAGGGCCAGCTGTAAGAGCAGGGCACCGAGGTCTGGACGTTCCTCTCCATGAAGTTGAACAGCGGGTTCCACCAGGTGTTGGTGAGGTAGTTGTTGGGCGAGCATTTCAGAATCTGTCGAGAAAATTGAAGTTAGTCATTTCATTGGTAAATACAAACAAATAAAATGTTTATATAATACTTTCAATACAAGGGATGCAGCTTAATGTGATTCTGATGAACAAACCATTCACATATCTTTATCATAACTTCAAAGTTGCATTTGTGCAATTGCATGTGGATGTCATAGTGCAAAAGTTAGAGAAGGGAATAATATCAGCAATAGTAAATATTTTTGTGCCATATGTTCCATAAAAGGGATGCATCTCAAAGAGCTTTCATTGAACAGATCAGACACATCTTTTTACTATTAATATCATTTACTTATTATAATAATAGTTGCTTTAGTTGCAATTTAGATTAATATAATACTAACATGTACATTGCAACAGGTTTTGCTTGATGTAATCATTTCTTTTGTGTATATTGACAATTAATTCCTTCCTAACATGCGTCCAATGTACTTTCTTTGAAGGCGACTAAAGTTGTATTATATCAAATAAATATGTGATATGAGTATATTTTGTTGTTTTTGTTTGTTGTATTCTTGTTTTTAATTTAATGTTTCCTATAACCATTTTCATTGACATGTTGCAACTGCAAATAATAATAATAATAATAATAATAATAATAATAATAATAATAATAATAATAACAATACATTAGATTTATACAAAACTTTTCTAAGTAGGCTACCCTTAGTCGCTTCAGACTTTTTGTAAATATTTGTTTAAATGAAAACTAAAATAATTTGAATAAATTAACTGGAAACCAACATCATATTTGTACACAAGTCAGCTGCTAAGCTTGTGATTTATTTTAAATTATAATTTAGGCTTGTTAACATATAACACATTTTTATATATACCTTATATACCCCATATCAACTGTCCAGCATTGACCAGTAGAGGGCGTAACTCACCATGTTGAGAAGCCACATACTGATGATTTGAAGGCAACAACATCCAGTTTTTACACACAGTCCAAGAATATAACTATACTTAGTCTTACTCTAAATATGTCATTATATGGAACATATAGAACGTTTTCTTTAAACCTAAACTGTAATTTATTAAGCTGACATGTAGCTCTTAGCTGGTACACTTGAGGTTAACTCTGTACACAAATTACAGGCAGACTGACAGAAAAGCCCTCCATGCATAATGATTGATGTGAGACAAGGTTCAATGAGAGGGGAAACATCAGCTCTAAAAGCTCCTAGTTTTACTCTCTTGCACTTCACCATGCACACAAACAGCCCCCCAGTGCTCACCTGTAAGTTGGCCATAGTGTGGTACCACCAGAACAGGCGGGAGGTGATAAAATAGGCCACGACCACATCCACACTGTAATGCTCATGTGCCACCAAGATGCACACCACACCCGTGGCACTCAGTAACCAGCACATCAGATGGTACCACCAAAACGACCGCGGCGAATCTTTAAAGAGAGGGAAGGAAAGCATGTTGGTAATATTTATGACAACCTCTTTCTGTGGTCCGTGCGTCCATGTTTTAACTGCTAAAAAACGGCAGCATTTCACTGCAATGTGACAAGAACTGGGAATTTATGCAACATACAGAAAGGCTAACGAAAACAACATGGTTATACAGATAACTTAAAAAATGTAACCTCTTCTTGTAATATGTCATCCTTAAAACACTACAAACACTTTTGAATACACTTTTGCCTTTTCTCCGAACAATAAATCAAGCTATATACAGCTTTAGAAGGTAACATAATCATATCTGCTTTCAAATTGTATTAGTAGTTATTTGTATCCCATTAGTTCCTAGAAGGTTCATTGCTGGGTAGTATAATTGTGTGCGCTATATAGGATGAGAATGGATCAGATAATATAATTCATACATTATTAACAGGAAAGTCTCATAAATTATTCAAAACAAAGCCCACAAACAAGTGATGCTTTGTGTACTCACACTCCTTGATGAATAGGTAGGTGAGGGTGAGCATCACAGTGTGTCCACTGTACAGGAAGTCTCCACACAGGAGGTGGGAGTTGGTCATGGAAAGACCTCCACCCGAAATCAGCCGCAGGATTCGCTGAATTTTCGCCTGGGAGTCTCCATGGAGCTGATCGAGAACAGGAAGTGAACAGGGAGAAGCAGGCGATCAGTGAATCAGTGACATTACGAATCCAACTAATGATTATTTTTCGTTATGAATTCATTTAGCTACTGTACTTCTGCCATTAATCATGATTTGCACAAAAAGTGCCTGTTTAAATCGAAACAATTAGAATCCAAGAGATTACATTTACGGTGATGTAAAATTAATTAAAGAAGCAAATCTACAATAAACATCAGGCCCAATTAATTATCAAAACTGTTCCCAATACAAAAATACATGAATTCCCTTGCAACCTATTATAAGCGCATTTAACAACGTGGGTATTTGCAACCCTTTTATTTGCATGCAAATACATCGACCCCGTTAAACTTAAAGGAATAGCTTTTACATTTTTATATTTACAGACATGACTGTTGTGGCAAACTTCTTATCTGTCCATCTTCAAGAAAGGAAATATAATCAAATATTTTGCAACTTGTCTGTCAATCTTTACAACTTGATGCAAAATAATTGGAATTGAATTGAATTAACATGTAGTCAGGTTTAAGAGGAATTTGAGAAAGTCAAATAAGTACAGCTTAACTACATCTTATGCTCCTGCAGCTCACATTACTGCGGATAACTCACTTCAAACAAGTAGCTGAAGGTTTCATACACTGTTCAAAACATATCAAATTCTTGTGAACAAAACAACTGTCCAGCTTTGGATCCGTTTTGCACGACACAACCCATCAAACAGCAGCCCGGAGCACATGTTTTTGATCAAACAATGATGCACCTCAATATTGTTGGTGTCCTGAGGTGGTAAAAAGTCCAAACGTTTTTTTTTATAGCTGCCTCTCTTGTGTTGCTGTGCGAAATGAGTCCCAGAGGGTGCATGAGAGTACACGGCTGAGCAAGGACAGCTGATGCCCGATCTGATGTTTTTCATGCTACTCACCTTAGGAGCACAAGTCATGTGCATGCCAGGCACAGGCAGGGTGGTGATGTACATGGTGACACAGCGGTACAAGTACAGGGTGCCAATGAGGAAGAAGAACCGCCTGCCTGCTATCGACCTATACAAACAGACAATGAGCGTGGACATATTGTGTTATTTTGTGGCAGATATTTACTTAAAACTACTTCATTCTGGAGATCTTGCACAGTCTGAGGATGAGTAAACGTGTGGCTCAAAGTTCCTGCTCAGCTGGGCAGACTGAATTGAATTAACCGGACCACATAATGACAATCAAAATCATATATGCTTTAACAGCATCACATTTGTATTGGTAATGTTGCTTGCTTTGCTGAGCCCTTCAGAAATAGCTTTTCAATTTTTTGGGCAAATGCGGAAGACATGATTTCAAGAGTTGAACTTAATTAAACATTTTCAGCAATCTACAGGGAAACCTCAGTGGTAAGGGCGTGGTTTGAGTGTTTCTTAAAGACTGCTTTCTAAAGTACTTATGTTGAACATACAGGAAACCATCACTGTGTAAAGTACAAAACACCCTGATGGTGGAAGCATCAATGGACTCTAATGGATGCATTTTCTGAGTAACAGGAAGAGAGACATACAGATGTGTTGCAACTCTTAACCACAAGACAGTCGTTTTATTGTTTAAATAACTAATCATAACTTCAGCCCACTGTATACGTGTCTCTTTGACCCTTGTCTTGCGTGAAAGATAGTTTTTCATGAGTATTCTGTATTTTTCCAACAAACCCTCGGAAAAGACCCAAACCGATCAAATGTTTTTATTATTTATTGGACAACAATGGAGGCCTGTGTCAAAGGTTCAATGAATTATTAGGAATAGTTTCTTGTTTTTTTACAAGCTTTATGAATCATGGGATTTGTTGACACTAAGAAAAACAATGTATTTGCTTCCAAAAAAAACGTTTGTAAAATAGAGAGTACCAGATGTTCTTACCTGTATCTGAAGAAGAACAACTGGATCATCCAGATTCCCAGCAGCACCATGCCATTGATCTCTGTCACTGTGAATGCCCATTTGACCCTGTCAATATAGTCAAAAAACTTATCAGGGAGGGGCGGGCTGCTTTCTTTGGGCGGGACTCTCTCGTGGACGATCGTGATGACGACTGTGGTCAGGACCAAGTTAAAGCCAGCATAAAAGAAGGCTATGACTGTCTTCCACCACTCCATGGGCAGACGGTTGACCTTGGAATCCGGCACAGAAATCTTCACGTAGTCATTATGCCTCCCTATGCCTTTCCGAAAACCCCTCTTTGCCTCATCTGCTCCCGCTGTGTGGACAGGACAGATTTTACCGTTGCTAAGTGCAGAACCCCCCTCCATTCCCAGGTTCAGAGTGTCAGAGGAAGAGTCTCTCGCTCCCACAAGCTCCTGTGACGCCATGGGTGCCTGCTCTGTCCATCAACAGGCACCGCTGCTGTTGGTTGAGGCTTTTTAAACTGCAGAGAGAGAAAACAAAAGGTTGGAAACTGTCTTGGTAGGAAAAGTACAAACACACTTTTTTCAATTGAAAGTTGGAACAGCAGAAAAGTAAATGGTACTCCTTAGTAAAGGATGTCAAATCGCCATGATGAGAAAAAGGGAGGAGATAACTCAAGCTTTCTTTTGCTTCCACTATTCCTTATCCTAGGGATTAGCAAAGCAAGTGATGGGGCTTCTATTGATGCTCAATTCTTCTTTACACTGGCTGAAATGTTCTTTTTTTTTGTGTAAAACTATTTTTAAGATGTGGTTCCATTAGCTAATACTGTGTGTTATATTTTCCTTTCCCATAACATTCACCAGAACCACTGTGACAGTTTTCTGTTTGGACGTTCAGCCCGATCCTTATTTTGGGCCTTCCAAAGTCTTTCCACCACACTGCTTTGGTTTTCTCCATTTGTCCTCAACAAACAGTTCCTATGGTCACTTCAGTGGTTTTATGGTAAAATACCTTCATCATCAAACCATACAAATGTATAAATAAACTTAATTAACCTAAACTAGTTATTACGTAAAGGCTATTCTTGACATTAAACAGTAGTTTAGGAAATAATTTCGTCATTAAGGTCCATTTTGCTTTTGTTGTGGAGCTTTCAATCATTTTACGTCATATGTCTCTGCACATGAGTGTGTTCTGCTGACTTGATTTTCGATAAAATTAAAATTAAAATCTGAGCACTTTATGTACTTCTTTTACATGGTGACTTAAAAGTGTATAAAACCAGTCGGGCAAAGATAGATACTATTATTATATATATATTATCATGTAAAAAAAAAATGGAGTATAAGACAAAACTAAATAAAATAAGATAAATATTGTTTTGAGTCAATTCAATATTTGTATTGATGCTCATAAGAGAAAGTTGGAGGAGCTAGTGAAATGTTTGTAATGTTTGTTGTGGAGCTCTTTTCAGTTAATGACTTGAGAGATCACCAAAGCAATGATCATTTTCATCATTTCATGTCTAAAAGGCTTCTAGTCCCTTTTACAGCCCCATTAATGGATTCTCAGGATTCTGCTATTAGCCCTGAAATGCATTAAAATGAATGTCATCCAGGAAACAAACAGTACGGAAAGCCTACTTTGAGGCAAACCTTGCACTAGGAAAAAATGGAGGTTATAAATATGTATGGCTGGATCCAAGAGCGCTGCTGAAAGTATCAATTTCCTCAGAATCCATTTTTGGGAAAATATTATTAAAGGATTATTATAGGATGGCCTCTTACTAACCCATAGCAAATCTAGCCTCTGTTATGCAACTGATGGATGGATACAGAATACTGACGGTCAGACTTTGAGTGAGTTAAAGAGGTCATAGGAGATATAAATACCTACCAAGAGGGCCAATAAGATCAACAATAAGAAGCAGAAGAGCAGACAAACAATATAAGCCAATTACAGCGCCATCATTCTTATGCTATTAGGGAGATCATGTTGCAGCTCTGTGGTTAGTTATACTGTAACTGTGGGACAACATGTCAAAGACATTTATGAATTTGTTGAGTCACTCTTAGCTGGAATAGCAAATTGTCTCATTAATGTATGTGAGTTTCTTATTTGTACACATATTGTTTACTTCTCTTGTGTTGACCAGCTCAGTTTAACCTTGTGAATTTGAAATGGTCTGTCCTTAAAGCAAACATGAGAGGGACAGACTGTGGCGACAATGTCATCTAGAGACAAATCCTGCCGCTGCTCCACAGACTGTGACTAATGAAACACTATGACAGTGCATGACATCAGTGCCTCTCAACAAAGCTGATGCTAGTTTTGGTGAGAGGTGCAACACTCTCAGAGCCTTAAACAAGAGATGGCGGGACACACTGCTTTGAAATAAAGTGTAATAAATGTAAGGTTTGGTTACATTTAAGAATAATCTTTGGTTACATTTAAGAATAATCTTTGGTTACATTTAAGAATTATTTCTTAAATGTAACCAAATGGAAATATTGTGGTCAGGGTAAAAACGAAACTTGGTTGAAAAAGTCCCACCTCAGAGTCAGAATGCTAAAAGACAAAAAAGTATCTGAGATAAGGTTGAAAGCTCCAGAAAAAGCTATAAGGGGACTTTAAACCCCCTAAAAAAAAAGGTAGGTAAAAAGTAATCAAAAAGCTGCCTGATATACCGTCATCTGGCAGTTACTTCATCACTTTCTTTAACTTAATTTTATAATGCTGCTACTTACTTTTTTGTACTTGGAAAGTGTTTATTATTCAATTTAAAATGTATATTCATTTGTGCTGGCCACTTTAATAAATACGGTTTCATTTTGTCTTTATCAGTATTGTCTCTTTGCTGTAACTATGCACATATCCCCTCTGGATGACTAATACATAATTTCTGTTTCCCATTTGGATTTTAAAGGATAAGATTGAACTATCAAATATTTTGTCAATGTGACTTAAAGATTGTCGTCCTGTATACCAGAAACTTTGACTGTTGTATTACCTGTAGGAGACGTAATATAGTGGTGGTGTCAAAGTCAGTTTCAGTTAATAGTCCCACCGCTACATGAGGGCACTTGAGATATTTTAGATTTATTTGTACAAATGACCAATACGTTTTGGTCTGGTGAGGACAGTCTCTAATTTTAGGCGAGTGGAGGGCGTAGTAGTTGTAAATATTGACATTACATTCCAAAATTGTCGGAGAGGCACAACACCTTCTGTGTTTGAGTGGACTTTTCCTTTTAAAACATACAACTCTTTATGTCCTATATGTTATCTTGTAACCTTGAATTCTACATGTTAAAGATCAGTGATACAGTCAATACAAAGCAGATGGGAGACATGTGAGATTGCATGTGCACTGTACAGGGAGGTCAGCAGAGTTTCCCCCCGGTCCCTTCCTCCCCAGTGTACAGTAGTCAGTGTTTTCCCACCAGTAATGCACCCAGCACTAAAGGGGTTGGGTGGTGATGGAAAACTGGCAGGAACCCCTATTCCACATGGTCACAGGCCCAAATGGATAACTTGGCTGCTTCCACTCGCTCAAGCTATTTCAAGAGCAGCCACCCAGCTGCCTGCAAGGCTGTATTTTACTCCAGGGGCTCCAAGGCTTTGACTCCATTTCGGGACATTCATAATAACATACTTCTATTGCCGTCCACTCATTTTCTTCTTTACATCTTGCGGATTGTCCTTCCTCAAAAGGAGGGTTAAATATAAGTCAAACCAGAGGTGGCCCATCCCTCTGGGAGCCGGTAACATAGAGAGGAGTTGACTACATGTTCTGAAATTTAATTACGGTTAATCACTGTTCAGGAGTACATCATAGGTTTTAATATTGTCACGTTAAGTTTAACTTTAGAAACAGATGCTAGTCATTTTTCCAGTATAGTTCAATTGATTTGAATTATTTGATGCTCACATCCACATTTAATTTCCTATCTATCTATTTATTTCAATTAAAAGACAATCTCTTCAATCGTTTTGTGATTAAAAAAAAGGATAATTTCATTTAAATAACAAGATGTGCTGTTCAAAAATAGTTAACCTTATAGCAGTGGTGTGAGAATGTGTTGGATCCTTTACTTCAATGAAAGTTATACAATAATACAATTTTAAATACAACATTTTAAAACCCTGCTTTGAAATAATTGCCATAGTAAAGAGATGGATAGTGTGTATTGTAACACAATTGGAAAGTGCTCTTTTTGTATAAAGGATTGGAATCAACTTTTTATTTCAAAGTTGATTCAGGCTTAGCCTCTCACTTTATACTCCATCTACTCTTAATCTCATATATTTAAATAATATGTCAAATAAATGTAGGCTATGAAGCAGAACTACAATGTTTCTCTCCAAAATGTAGTAATAGTATAAAGTTGCACAAAATGGAAATAAGTATGACTAGTTGAGTGTTTCGGTAAATGTACTACTCTTTCACTGATTAGTAATAGTAGATTATGATTGACAGTCGTAGATAATCATATTTGTTACAATCTTTTGTATTCATATACCATGAATATCATGGCAATAGAGTGAATTTTTTACTTTTGGTTTTACCACAGAGCTGTTGACTTCCTGCACTGGATCGCATGAAAACTGTATAACAGGAGCTAACTGTGCAAAGATGCTCCTCAATACAAACACATATTCTTACCTGACAAAATAAATTATGTGTTGTAGTTCTGCGGTGAAACTTTTATAGCCTACAAGCCAAAATGGTCTAACTGGAGGCGCCCCAACTTTTCTAGGAGCCACAACCACATGTGGGGCGGATACTGGCGGTAATGTCAGGTCCAGGACTGGGTGTCTCTCATGCCTCCCAGTTATTACAGGCCAGAAGTATGTCACTTGTGACGTGTGCAGCACAGCCGGGTCTGAAGTTTACTTTTGGGGTGTAGACCAGTGGCCCCACTGCAGTGTTAAACACCATGTTCCATAAGAGGCTACTGGGTGGGGCAACAGGTCATTGCTCATCCTGTAATTAAGCCCTCTCCTTTTCATTCAAAGCTATTGCAGTTGGTAATTGACAACTGTATTATTATACAATGATTAAAACAACTGTAACACAAGCATACACAATCAATACAGGATATCCTATGTATCAGAAATAACGTTTTAAGCCTGTGTTTATCTTTGTGCGTCAAATGATGCAACTGAAAAATAGCCAGACAAAATTCAGTGTTAACCTGACATCATCACACGTAGAGGCTAGTCGACCAGATGATGTCTCCTGATCCACCGAATAAAACTTTTTCGCATGAATGTATGCGGACACTGAGCCTTATGCAACAAATACAAATATTGACTATGTCTCCTAGAATTCATATCGACAGTGATAATTTCATCATCTGTAGCAACACTGATAAAAAAGAAAGAAGTTGAATGTCAAGAGTAGCCTATAAAATCTCGCTGGAGGCTATCATCAAATTGGGGATGACACAACAATACACCAATTAAAGACATGACCCCCAACACATACCGACGATCACATGAAGATATGTGTCTATACACATGTTGCACAGTTTTTTAGCATCCTACCTGTCTTGGTCGGGCCTCGCCTCTTCCTGTAGTTACAGCTCCCTGGATCTCTTGCTTCGCCCTGCTCGCTGCTCAGCTCCGATCACACTGGACTGCTACATTACCCGGCGGTGCCGCTCGCTTTTGAGAGAGCGCTCCTCCCCGAAGCAAGACAGATTCTCACATCCAGCCAGCCTCAGTACCAAGCCTCCTGCCTCCCATCCCCTTTAATTCAGAGTGAGAGTCCTGTAATCAGCACAAGCCTCTAACTCTGCCCGCATGTAAAATAGGTGTTCTGCGAGTTGCACATCTTTGAGCATTTAGGTGGAGTAGCTAAATGTTTATTTTTAGAATCCTCGTATGTGCGTTTATTATGGAAAAACGACTCTTTAAAAAATATATTTCTTTCTTTTTTTTACCGTTTTTATTATGTAAGCGAGAGATAAAACATTATAAAAATACCATAAAAAATACCTCCTTGCTTATTTAGTTATAAATCCTTCCAATCATTTTAAGTATTCTAACACATTTATAGCAATTTGTGTCAAACAAATACAGTTTTCTATTAAAAACATACATTTTACGAAACATATATCTCAATATTTATAAATAAGAACTTGATTCGATCTTTTTTTAACTACGAATACTTTGCTTTGTAAGTACTGGTCACAGATCAGTTAAGTCATTTAGCCAGTCACGGCTCTGAGACACGATCACGCAGCAAAACTGACATCAAATCAGTTTAGTTTGCCCCGTTATGACGACTGACTGCGGAAATACGTCATTACGTCGACGCTGACGTGGCAGCTGGGTGGGAAGCTCTTCCCGTTTGTTGTGCTAAGCCGGGGTACTCCATTCACTGGAGATACTTGTACAGTGACCACAAAATAAAAATACCTGTACTATCAAATCAAAAGTCGAGCATTTGGTCGTTTTGTGTGTGTTTTAAAATAAAGAGGTAGCCGGTTGACTCAGGCGCTGACTGCTGGCAGCCATGGAAACGTGTGGCAACTCGAACAAGAAACAGAAGCTAGCCAACGCTGCTGAAAACTGGGTGAGTTTTTCTTTTGCTAAGTTTTGTTTATTCGACACCATTCATCAATTTGACTAACCGGCTACTAATAAGCTAACAAGATAACTGGCCAGACTACCAGCTAATGAGCTAGTTTAAAAATTATCCTGTTATAGTAAACGTTATGCTAGTGCTACATTTAAATCCTTGGTTGTTAACAGCGCCGAGACAGGAGAATGGCTAAGGATTTAACTGCTACCCTACACAGTTGATAGGAGAGCACTAACTTCTTGTTTAATTTAATTTAACAGTGATATCATCAACTACACATTGTGGATCCTACATCCTTGCAATTGTTTGTTTAATTTTAATCCTACATCCTTGCAATTGTTTGTTTAATTTCAACTGCTTATTCCAGGTGACCTACTGCCAGAGGTGTATTGTTAAGTTAAAGAGTGGAAGAATACTTTGTTACAACAAAAAGTTCTGCATACAACATAGTAGAACATAATTGGTATCAAAATATACTTAAAGTACCAAACATTTCCCATTTTAAAATCATACTAATTTACTGGATTTTGATTGTTCATGCATTAATGTGTTCATCATAGCTGCTGAAGGTGGAGCTAATTTAATTACTTTGTATACTGCTGCTAGATATCTTAACCTATCATTGTAATAGATAATGTTTTAGATATTTTTTTGTTTATATTCTAAATATGTAAAGTAATCAGTAACTAATTTTGTTAAATAAATGAAGTAAAATGTATTTAGGAATTAACAGTTAATCTGTATCATTTCAGGGAATGCAACGTGCGACTAATGTCACCTATCAAGCTCATCATGTCAGTCGAAACAAGCGCGGGCAGGTTGTGGGCACAAGAGGAGGATTCAGAGGGTGCACCGTCTGGCTGAGCGGTAGGTTATGTCATTATTAAGCTGTCCTTTCTGCATCTGTACATCTTTTTGCTTTTTTAATGCAGATTTTTTTGTTGCTTTTTTCAAGGTTTGTCGGGTGCAGGTAAGACCACAGTGAGTATGGCACTGGAGGAGTACCTGGTGTGTCACGGTATTCCCTGCTACTCACTAGATGGGGACAACATCCGCCAGGGGTTGAACAAAAACTTAGGCTTCAGCCCTCAGGACCGTGAAGAGAACATTAGACGCATCGCTGAGGTGGCTCGGCTTTTTGCTGATGCTGGGCTGGTCTGCATCGCCAGCTTCATCTCTCCCTACGGCAGGGTGAGTGACTCTGCAGAGAGTGCATCAGTGCTTTTAACGAGAGGAACAGATAACACAGGGATACATATGGTCGGACCTTACTGATGCTATATGAAATGTGTCGGTTGTTTTGTTATCAAATCTTTGTTGAGCCACATTTGAATGACATCTGACCTTGTGTAAACATTGTTGGCCTGTTTTGGAATTACTAATGGATCTTTTTGTGATAATGATACCATTACTGATCATGTCAGGGGTTAATGAAACAATTCAATATCAGTTTTACGTTTCGAAAATAATAATTGAAGATAAAAATATCTCTGCAGTGATTATGTTATTTTAATTTCTATTAAGATATAATCCATCATTACACACATTTCTGTTTAGTTACAACAAATCCAGATGAGCCATGCTTTGTATTCCTCACACTTTATGTAAGCAAGTCATGTGTGTAACTCAATGTGTTTTTTGTCTGTCAGGACCGCCTCAACGCCAGGAAGATCCATGAGGCGGCAGGGCTTCCTTTCTTTGAGGTGTTTGTGGACGCTCCACTGGATGTCTGTGAGCAGAGGGACGTGAAAGGGCTGTACAAGAGAGCCAGAGCCGGGGAGATAAGAGGTGCATTATGGTTTCTTACTGTTGATTATTAACATATTACTTTGACTTTAAAGACACAGTCATATTGAAATTACATAGATACTTCATTTATGGATGCAAATGTAAAAGACAATATTTAACATGTAAATACTATAATTTCCAAGACTTTTATATATGTTTGTACAAATGTTTCACATGTAAAAATACTCAGAAATGACATGACGGTGACCTAAAACTGATGCATCGGTGTCAGAGGAAGTATCTTATCACGTTGTGGTTAATTGTGCTATGGTTCATTCAGGGGAGAGATCTCACTGTGCTTCCTGAGTTGTGTGTCATATCTGTACATCAGATTGCCATTTGTTCGAGTTTCCATCCTGTCTTTGGTTGAAACATTATTAGTCATTGAGATGGAATTCAGTCCTGACCTGTTCTCTGTAGCTTCACTGTAATCCCTAGAATAATTCTGCTTTATTTTCTAACCAATGGCAATTGTCTGACTGCAAACTCTGCTAAACTTACTTGTGTCGTAATTCGTGATATAAGAATACGGAGAAAGGTAGTTTCTTATTGTGTCAGTTTTGAGTACTTTTGAGGGAATAGATTTCAAACTGCTTCAACAGGATATCAGTTTCATACAGTGTCCATTTCAAATCCATTCAATAATGGAAAAAAAACAAACCTAAGCTTTTCATGTTGATAAGCTGATATTTTGCCAATAAGACAAAGCTCAGACTGGGCATTTATTCGTCTTTATTTCCTCAGGTTTCACAGGGATAGACTCAGAGTACGAGAAGCCGGAGGCTCCAGAGCTGGTGCTGAAGACCGACTCCTGCAGCGTGAACGACTGCATACAGCAGCTGGTGGACCTGCTTCAGGAGAGGGTGAGCGGTATGGCCTCAGAACAGTCTCATAATACACACATGCACACAGAAGGATTCACACTTGTATTTCCGGATCCACACTTGTGTTTTTCAATGCGATGTGTTCCGCTTCATATACATGTAAATAAAATCCAAATACAGAAAAAAGTTTTACATTATAATGTATTTTTTTTTATCCTCACATATTTGTTTTCCACTTAAAACCTCTGCATCTGCAAACACAAACCGCTTTCTGTGCACGGATCGCTGTGCATTCGTGTGTGGGTTTTTTGAGACTCCCCTGACGGCCACCAGATTCGTACTAGTAATTTTTTCTATCTATAGCCAATCGGATGTTTCCTCAATTCTAAGCCAATCACATGCGCGCGCCCCCACAAGTGTATGATTTCTTGCCCCTGCCGGTACCGAAGTGGGCCGATCGGAGTGGCCCGACCGGCCCACTTCGGTACGCCCCGATGGCCAGTCCCCCACTGCTTCGGTATACAGTATAACGGCCCGTCCACACACAGGCATGAAAAAAATCTTGAAAAATCTTGATGCTGGGCGTGTCTGAAGCTTGGCAATTTTTTGGCAATTTTTTGCGACCAACAACCAATCATATGAATCTCCCGCCCCGACATACAAAGCAATAGCAATGTTAAAACGAAGTAAACAGGATATAAAATCCCCAAACAGGCGAAAACCTACCAGTTTCACCGACTGTCTCTGCCACCTCCCTCCATGCCTGGTTCCTCCGGTTTGTATCCCGGTAAATAGTTCTGGTTGTAAAGAACCGGGTGATTTGCTACCATAATTTCTCGTTTGGAATATGAGGAAATGAACTGCGGTCTGGCTCTCCCAGCTTGCACGCGGTTTGATTGGCTAGCGCTTGTACTGGCGGGGATTTGCATAAACTGATGCCAGCTTCGAAAGGCATCGGTAGCATCAAAACTTGAACATTGCTCAACTTTTGATGCTCACAATGCTTGCAAAGCCATGCTCCACTCCCCACAATGCAGTTCGGCGAAGATTAAAAATCTTCTACGTCACCCCATTCAAGTGAATGGGCGAAGCTTTGAAAGATTTTTTTCATGCCTGTGTGTGGACGGGCCGTAAGTGTTGCACGGCCAGATAAGGCTCGAGAAGCTGACTCAGATGAATGAGGCGAGTAAACAGCTGACAGCCGGCAAGAAACTTGAGCGATTATTCGCATCACTTCCGGTGTGAACGCACCACTATTACAAGTATTATATAATTACAAAATAAAATCGCCACTCTCAGTTCAGCGCCACTTTCCGAACAGGTAATGCACGCAAATAAAATATTTTATATTATCATTATTATTATTATTATTAATAATAATAATAATATATATAAATAAAAACATCTTGTATTTTAGTTACACCCGCTATCGATAATTTGGTCAACATTGGACCTTGACACCGTCCACATAGCTATAGTGAAATAATATAATCGAAAATATTAAGCCTCTTTAATTTAATAATCGGAGCTGAAACCTCTCTGCCATCTCATATAACACACTTCTTTATTTATCTTTGAATAATAATACCGTAAAAATAAAGACGACTATGCTACGGTCCTTCGGTCCTGAGATTAGCGCCTGCAGGCTCCATGGACCTGTCATCTCCGGACAGCGCAAAATGCGTATATGAAGTGCTACGCAATAAATCATACCCAGACATCTGATTGGCTATAGATAGAAAAAATTACAATTACGAATCGACTGACCGTCAGGGGAGTCTCAAAAAACCCTCACACGAATGCACAGCGATCCGTGCACAGAAAGCGGTTCGTGTTTGCAGGTGCAGAGGTTTTAAATGGGAAAACAAATATGTGAGGATCAAAAATACATTATGTAAAACTTTTTCCTGTATTTGGATTTTATTTACATGTATATGAAACGGAACACATTTGTGTGGATCTGGAAATATAAGTGTGAATCCTTTTTACGGATCATGAAATGAAATCCTTCTTTGTGTGCATGTGTGTATTATGAGACTGTTCTGAGCCCATGGAGCGGAGGATACAGCATGATATGTTTAATATAAGTGTGTCAAACTTAAAATCAGCTACCATTGGTGTTTATTGGCTATTTTTGCTTAAAAGAATATGTGTGTGTCCATAACAAACACAGCTAGTGGGCTCATAGTGCCGCCGTGAGTGGCAGCCTGTTTAGCAGCTCTCCTTTGTTTCTACTTTTTCTTGTCTTTTCTCTTTCTTTCCCCACTACTCTTACTTTTTAGTGGACTTAGTTTAATAATCTGTGTGAATCTGTGCTGTCCTGTTTTTCATCCTTACCCTGTTGCTGTCAAACCACTGGATTTCCCCATGGGGATTAATAACCTTATTTGAGTCTAGACATGATACATAATTACTCAACGAGCCACTAGGGGGCAGTGCAGTTTCATATTTGAATGAATGTAGATGTGACTGCAAACTGCATCATGTAAATCAATCATTATTTTTCTGAATAGTAAGTCTAGAATATATAGGTTGTTTTGTTCATTATTTAATATTACGTTCACGTCTCTCTCTATATATTCTATAATGTATTGCATTCTATTTCAATGTTAATTACTGCTTTATTGTATTGCTATCTAACTATATTTTTGATTACAGTGCTCTTAATATAGTTCGCTATGTGTGTTTTTTTTTTTGTGTTACTTTTATGTATGCATCACGGCACCTAGTCAAATTCCTGGTACGTGTGAACCTACCTGCTAATAAACCCCTATCTGATTCTCCTGCAGGATATAGTTCCTGTTGATGCTTCTTATGATGTGAAAGAGCTGTACGCGCAGGAGAACAAACTGGACCTGGCTAAAGCTGATGCAGAGACTCTGCCTGCTGTACAGATTGGGAAGGTAAATCCAAATAATTACTTATAGCCTTTTCTATGATCTGTAAATGTGTTATTTACCTTTCCACCGACTCGTTTGAACTGCATATAATAAGTGGTTGGTCCCTTGTAAACCTCTCTCTCTCTCTCTCTCTGTGTGTGTGTGTGTGTGTGTGTGTGTGTGTGTGTGTGTGTGTGTGTGTGTGTGTGTGTGTGTGTGTGTGTGTGTGTGTGTGTGTGTGTGTGTGTGTGTGTGTTTCAGGTGGACATGCAGTGGGTGCAGGTGCTGGCTGAAGGCTGGGCCACTCCTCTGAACGGCTTCATGAGAGAGAGAGAGTATTTGCAGTGTCTTCACTTCGACTGTCTGCTCGACGGTAAGATGGCATTTACTTTTTTAAGGAAAAAGTCAGAGCTGCTGTTCTTGAGAAAGGCACTAGGTGGAGATGAGTGCTCACAAATGGTTTACTCGCTTTCTGTCTTGACATCAGAACACATTTCTTACATACATTATATGTGCACTAAGGGGCACTGAGATTCATCACAAACCTCAGATGCTCACTGCAATCTATACACTTGTGTTGGATGGTCTTCCCTGACCATGCGTAGACTGAAACATTGGCACATCCTTATATATAAGGCTATTCTTGGTGCTCTTCCCCCTTACTCTAAGGATGTACATAAATAAGAAAATAGCACAGGATCCTACTCGGCGTTCGTCTCCGAGAACTTTTTTCCTTTTTTAACTTGTACCAAACGGTACCGGTACTGACTTGGGTAAAAGGAAGCGTTCAGTTANGCCATAAGAAATGAATGCATCTGATTATTTAATGTTTAATGTTGTTTTTATTGGCAATAATTTAAGCTTTGTTAGTTCCAGGTTTAATATGTGCAATAAGTTAATTTCAATAAGTTTTGCAATAAACATTGAACCAGTCCGGCCCTCGACAAGTACCCATTTTTTTATTTTGGCCCACTGTGTATTTGAGTTTGACAGCCCTGGCCTAAACTTTCAACTAAAACAGTTGATCAAGTATGAATTATGCTGACCTCATGGAGTTCAAAGATCATCTCCAGGTTTAAATGTTATTTTCTTCATCAACTCACAAATTCAATTCTCTGTCTGAAATATTTGGTTCTGCTGCACCCTCAGGTGTTGGATGAGTGCAACTGCACGCTAATGGAGGCCATCTCATTACTAGTGACCTATAGTTTGTGACCTTACTCAAAGACTGACATGTTATAATTACAAGTGAATTTCCACTTTGATCTGTTCTCTAAGAGAGACATCTGATATTTTTTATAAGATCTGTATTAATTGCATGCAGTTGCCCCAGATTCCCAAAAATGTTTTGGTATAAAAAAATATATGAATTTCTCACTTCTAAATTAATGTTTAGATTGCAAGTGGACCTACTGGCAACACGTGCAATGTCATTTAACTAAAGTAGTAGTTGAACTTTAAATATAAAAAAACATTATGTTAAACCAAAGTAGTTTAGATCAACCATGTGAACAAAATAGATGTAATGAACTCTTATTTTGCTGACTTCACTATTATATAACAACTCTTTTTATTGGGTTCTTTTATTTGGGGTTAAGTACATTGTCAGAATAAGTGAGAAATGAATTTAACTTCTGTTAGACAGCTATCATACTGAATAAATATTTACTGTGAATGTATGCAAAAATGTATGGCATATAGCTGTCTAACAGAAGTTAAATCCATTTCTCACTTATTCTGACAATGTACTTAACCCCAAATAAAAGAACCCAATGAAAAGAGTTGTTAAATAATAGTGAAGTCACGTTGTAATAACAATAACTCATCCCTCTCAAGTTTGCTTTTTGTGCTTTGCCAAACGCCACTGTGTCAAGTGTCCTACTTGGGTTGCCGTACGCAGTTGTTCGAGATGGTCCGCCATATTTGATAACTACATACGGCAACTCTAATAGGACACTTGACACAGTGCTTGAGCCTCTACTAAAAGACATTGCTATCTTGGAAAATGAAGGCATCTTTATTTCCAGTATTGGGAAAAAAGTGAAAGCCATTGCATTTGCCTAGATTTTCAGCTTTAGATTTTGGCAACATATTGTAACCGACAAGTTGACCCCATTCATTTCTACTAAACTGGCTTGTGTATTTTATAACATATTCATTATGTCTCTAATAATCTCCCAATTTAAAATGTGTTGCAGATAAATGAGATTCACCGCGGTTCCACTTGAGTCAACATTTATGTTCCAGCTGGACAGGTACACGCCAAAGCTTCTGGAGCTGTTCAATGCAAAGGGAGGAGCAGTTGGTCAGCGCATTAACCACATAACAAAACATTAGTTGTTCAGATGTGCTCCCCGACACACTTTACACTTATTCTGATTAACTACAGTCAGTAGCGACCCTACGGCTCACAGTCCAAGCCCCTACTGACTGTAGTTAATCAGAATAAGTGTAAAGTGTGTCGGGGAGCACATCTGAACAACTAATGTTTTGTTATGTGGTTAATGCGCTGACCAACTGCTCNTCTTCAATAAAACGGTAGTCGTTTTATATACGTTTCTCTCACTTATCCAATAAAGAGAGCCGGGGCTTGGTGGAGGGATCACGGAACATGAGTCTTCTGGCTTTCTCACTGATGTCAGCTAGCTGCCGGCCACCGCAGCCACAGTATCTGCAGGCCTGGGATCGGTTTTCACTGAGATCAAAGGCACATTCTCCCTTTCATTCTCTTCCATCCCCAGCCCCAACGCCGCCCCCAATCCCAGTAGTTTAGATTGATTTCCATTGACCATGACATTCCTGCACATGCAGTACAGTCATGATGGAGTTGTTGGGAGTAGCTGATTGTCAGCAGATTTTCGGGGGCTTCCAGCCTGTTGGGTCGCCTCCGCCGCAAGAGAGTTTGGTGTCAAGATGCCTCGTGGTGTTCAGTTGCTAATACACGTTGACCACTTCAAAGAGGCAGCGGTGGGTTATGAATACCCTCGTGTTTACGCAAACCTATAGCTGTTTTAGGATGTGGAGTCTGTGGGGTATCCTGAGCAGAAAGTGAAGTGCGTTCGGGGGTTGATCCACTTGGGAGGTGAATCCTTCTTTACAACGAGCAGAAAAGCATGGTGTATATTTGACATGCTTGTGCCTGAGTAGCTTAATGTTATTGTCTGGTTTGCATTTATTTATTTTATTCAGGAACATTTGGTTAAATTAGCAGACAATATCTTTATCAGGGTTTGTTATTGGTTCATAGCATTTGGACTTTTGAGGAATTTGTTTCTGATTGTGCAACTGTTTATTTATTTCATTGATGGTCAGACTTAACATTTAATCAGTAGTATAGGGCTAAAATTATCTATTTTGTCTTCTTCCCTGTCCCGTGTTTCAGATATACATATGTTGAAAGCCAGTGGAAAACCCAACTAAGCATATATGTTGACAAGAAGATTTACTCATTCTTAAATCTAGACGTTTCTTGTCTAGATTTAAGAATGAGTAAATCTTCGTGTGTGTGTGTGTGTGTGTGTGTGTGTGTGTGTGTGTGTGTGTGTGTGTGTG